TTGGTAAAACTTTGTAACACAAGTGTTTGTATTCAATGTAATATGAACTGAAATGTTGGCGTTACAAATCTTCTTGTGAGAACGTTTGGGGTGGTCTTGTTCCCAGCTGATTCAGCCTGACCATAAATTTACAATTAAAAGTGTTTTGCACACCTAACCTCTTGGTCAGCATTTGAAGGACTCCAAGAAGATCTGAGCGGTCCGTCTAATTAAGCAATACGTTAGTAATGAATAAATATGATATATTTACTCATTATAATGTTGGTGCTGAATGTACAACACGAAAAAACATAATTTTAATATGAAAAAGTATCTTTTTATAAAGAAATTAGACGAAAATAAAAAGCTGGTGACGCCAAATCAAGTCGACGATCCAAGCTTCGGTTAGGTTAGGTTTGGTTAGGTTAGGTTAAGTAAGGTAAGGTAAGGTTAGGTTACTCGGCCACCAGCCCCCAATATATATATTTACATATATATGTATATATATATATATATATATATATATATATATATATATATATATATATATATATATATATATATATATATACTTCAGTGCGTGTGTGTTTTAGAGAAATATATATAGTAGACATAATAGGAAATATAATTTAGTTAAAAAGGCAGGGTCCAAGAGCTAATAGCTCTATTCTGCAGATACAAATAGCAAATACAGATAGATACTAATCCTGCTCCACCCCCACCCCCACGGGTCGGCAGTTTTACAAATATGTGCGTGTATTACCTACAGTAAGCAAACTTTGGATACTTGGCTAAGATTCCTGGCAGAACATCATTATGAATTAAATTGTTACACATTTCCTGAACACCATTGGTAGCTACAGCATTTCTGAATTCCACGATTTTTTTGGCATTAATTTATATAGTGATGCAAAGTACCGTATGTTGACTAGTTCCTGCTTTTCATTTTGTTAAAGGCTACCAACCCAATCCTCACCTACCCTAGCCTCATCTACCCTAACCTCATCTACCCCTGCCCACACCTACCCTCGTTCTACTGTTCAACCGGGTCCGTCTAATTACCACAAGCTACCACAAACTTCAGAAAGCTTCCTGGCAATACGTTAGTAATGAATAAATATGATATATTAAGTTAGGCTGACCTAACCTAACCTAACCTATCCTAACCTATCCTAACCTAACCTAACCTAACCTAACTTAACCAAACCTAACCTAACCGAAGCTTGGATCGTCGACTTGATTTGGCGTCACCAGCTTTTTATTTTCGTCTAATTTCTTTATAAAAAGATACTTTTTCAGATTAAAATTATGTTTTTTCGTGTTGTACATTCAGCACCAACATTATAATGAGTAAATATATCATATTTATTCATTACTAACGTATTGCCAGGAAGCTTTCTAAAGTTTGTGTAGTTTGTGGTAGCTTGTGGTAATTAGACGGACCGGTTCAACCGAGTTTCGGGTGGCGCCAGGCAGGAATTAGGAGTCCATCATGTTTGACAGTTATCAAATTATGTACCAGGACCAGCGTACCCCCCTCCCCCCCCCTTCGCTAGCCTAGACCTGTCATCCCGGGTAGTTACAAGGACTAGGCTCCAGGCCTTCCCGTGGGAATGTGTCTCTGGGTTCACTAAAGCCTACCTAGCCTTGCCATTGGCCCTTGGGTGCCCGGGAAGAGCCGCAGGGGGCGGAGATTCATAGCAAGGTTTGTGAAGAAAGTTTGAAGAATTTAATGAGAATTGACAAGTGTTGGGGAAGTATCTGTGTTGTCACTTGAGGGGAGAACCGGTTGTGCCATCTGCTGGTGGAAGTGGTTATCTTGAGATGATTTCGGGGCTTAGCGTCCCCGCGGCCCGGTCCTCAACCAGGCCTCCTTTTTGTTACACATCCCCAGGAAGCAGCCCGTAGCAGCTGTCTTAACTCCCAGCTACCTATTTACTGCTAGGTAACAGGGGCATCAGGGTGAAAGAAACGTTTTGCCTATTTGTCTCCGCCTCCACTGGGGATCGAACCCGGAACCTCAGGACTACGAATCCGAAGCGCTGTCTATCCAGCTGTCAGGCGCACAACCCATTCTGGATTTGTTAAGTCTCTTGTGTTTCACATCCATCGCTTCTCCCTTACGGGTCAAGGGAAGTACTTCAGTAGTTGACAAAGACAACAAGGTTATGGCGGCTGTTGAACAGTTGCATCTGGTATGATATTAGCTCTTGACATAATTCCGTCAGTTCTCACACGACGTTTCAATTTTCACTCCCGTGGGTGTGGTTCTGGCTTTAAAATTGATGAACATTAAGCCACCAAGAGGTGGCACGGGCATGAATAAAAAGCCCGTAACTAGCTTTAACTTATGGTTTTGAATAGATATGTACATCGGTGGTCAATTCAAAGTGTCAAAATGTTACAAATAGTGGTGTTACACTCACCTACCCTGACCTGACCTGGCCATGACCTCACCTACCGTGACCTCACCTACCTACCTTACCCTTGTAGCATCTTAAGGTACTCTCCTTTCTCCGTATTCGCTTCTCACGTGCCTAGACAAGGGGTCAGAGGTCACGTTGCTGGTCGGGCTAGTAAAGATGCCCAGAGGATGACCTGGGATCATGTTTGTGGCAAACAAGTTGCAAAATGGCTACCGACTCTTAATTCATGTTTTCTCTATATCCTTCGTCGCCCGCAATGATAAACTCCATCGTTACGGAGTGTTCCTAGATGTCTGGCATTATTCCTGTTCTGTGTGTGTGTGTGAGAGAAAGAGAATCTCACTCTCTCTGGAATGTTTCTCCCTATTTCCTCTATTTTTCGTCTCATTCCAATCACCTGGTTTTGCAAATAGATAGGGGTCAAGAGGCTGACCTTATGGAGTAAGCAGTGTGTAATTGGAACCCCCATATCAGACGCTGGGGTGACTGTATCGTGTGAACTCTTAATAGGACGTAGATAAGGATTAGCTGAATAGTGCGCTCTCCTCAGCACCAGCCAGCTACAACACGCTGGCTCATGGAATAGCTCATTACAAGAGGAGATGCCATCTCCCACTTTTAAGCCCTGGGTCAAGACCTCAAGGTTAGTGTGAATTGGGTCGTGGATGGAAGAGGAGTGTGTGTGTGTGACAGGCTGTGGAAGGGAGAGCAGGATACCTGTAGCCTATAAGGTATGTCGTGAATTAGGGACACATATATAGCCTAGGATACTATTTGCATTTACAAAGATATAAAGTTTTGATTACATTATGGTTCAAAGTGTTTATTTTTTGTATGAGACTTGTACTGTTTTGCCACTGAGGTAAGCTGATCGAGCCCTTGACATTACAAGTGGACGTGTAGACTTCATGGAACATTATTTAATTTTGCCCGAGTTTATTGGGCAGCGCCACTCATCCTGTGAGTGGACATACCGCCATAGCAGCATGAACAACACTCCCCAATAGGAAGAAAACCCGCTGGGTTGTTCATCCTGTTCTACCATATTTATGGAACATCTAAGTGGTCCTGTCCACCTCATTACTTGTGTACTGGTTAGTGGTCGCATACAACTAGTTTCAGCACCAATATATATCTCGTCTAGCCAGACCAGTGGTCTTACGGGCTATTCATGCCCGTGCCACCTCTTGGGTGGCTTAATCTTTATTAATCAATCACCAGTGGTCATTGCTCAATGGGTCCTTGACTCTCCACTTGCGCTAAATAACACGTAAACAATCACCTCTCCCCAAGTAATTATGGAAAGCTCCTTTCAAAAGGAGGATAGATGAAGGTACTGGAGGCAAGACCTCCTGTTTAGTTAGCATTTTTTTTGTAACTATGTGAAAATGCAATTAGATAAAATTTGGTATTATTCACTATAGTCTGAAATACAGTTAAAAAACAAACTTAAATATTCCTAGGCCTAGTATAGCACATATATGTGCTATTTTAGGCCTCACATGGCGTGTTTAGGCCTAGGAAGGTTAGTTTAGGATAGTTTATGTTTATCTTTGCAATATAAATACAAAACTTTTCCGGTTTGTCAAAATTCAGTAGTAACTATTTCTACTTTCATAATTTTTGTTTAAATAGTATTAGGATTTCTGTGGGATTCCTAAATTTGAACGTTCTCATAATCCATCCTAATAAATGTCAGGTCGTGAGACATCATAATTCCCCAGACATCATTTACATGTTGCTTTCCTTCTATGAGTAGGTCTGATTGTGTCCTGTACCCTCAGTACCTGGAACTTATCACCGTTAAACATCATGATATTTTCTCCTTGCCCAATCAAAGACTTGTGCCAGATTAGGCTTTGTCAGTCTGTGTATGTTTTATATGTTGGTTTGTGTACGGGAAAAGGGGGAAGAGCAATGATATTTAGGATGTTGTTGCTAATAAGGTTCGCTACTTGGAACAAAAAGTTCCAAGTAGCACGGGCTATGGTGAGCCCGTAGTGATATTTAGGAATATTAGGAATATTTATAATGTTGTTTATACAGTGTTGGAAGAGATTAAATACCTTCTGCAGTCGAATTTATCTAATTCAGGTTTTCAAAGGTATTTGTTTTGTGAGGTATTTTAAGCAGGCCCATTAGTATAGCGTTTATAAATAAATGCAAACAAAAGCTACTCTTGGATATAACTTCAAAAATACACTAAATTTTCCAACTTTCCTTAGCGAGTATTATGGATAAGAGATTAGAAAATAGCCTAAGCTACTCTTATCCTTTAGAAACGAAAACTTAACTTGCATTACCGCGGGCTTTTTATCACGTATTTCAGATGTTACTTTGGGATATCACATGATATTTCCCGCGATTCTGACCTGTTTTTACATATATATTAAACATTATCTTTGCAGGAGAGACTTGGACATTGACTGGAAACTACAGCACTGGACCTAAGACCCTTATCAAGACTGCGATACATGTAGGTGGCATCTTGGTAGGCGATGATCAAGTCACTTCAGGAGTTCTGATATATTTCTGGAATCTGTTGTGAATAACGTGATTGCAGAGAATTTGTTAAGACAACACAGCTGACTGGATATGTATAAGCTTGTTGGTTCTTCACCAGGGGTTGCTGACGGTCTGGTACCACCAGCTGACGCTCTGGTATCACCAGCTGACGGTCAGGTACCACCAGCTGACGCTCTGGTACCACCAGCTGACGCTCTGGTATCTCCAGCTGACGCTCTGGTACCACCAGCTGACGCTCTGGTATCACCAGCTGACGCTCTGGTACCACCAGCTGACGCTCTGGTACCACCAGCTGACGCTCTGGTATCTCCAGCTGACGGTCTGGTACCACCAGCTGACGCTCTGGTATCACCAGCTGACGGTCTGGTACCACCAGCTGACGCTCTGGTATCTCCAGCTGACGGTCTGGTACCACCAGCTGACGCTCTGGTATCACCAGCTGACGGTCTGGTACCACCAGCTGACGCTCTGGTATCACCAGCTGACGGTCTGGTACCACCAGCTGGCACTCCGGCACCTTCAGCACCATCAGCTGACACTCTGGTACCTTCAGCACCATTAGCTGACACTCCGGCACCTTCAACACCATCAGCTGACACTCCGGCACCATCAGCTGACACTCCAGCACCTTCAGCGCCATCAGCTGACACTCCGGCACCTTCAGCGCCATCAGCTGACACTCCGGCACCTTCAGCACCATCAGCTGACACTCCGGCACCTTCAGCACCATCAGCTGACACTCCGGCACCTTCAGCTGACACTCCGACACCACCAGCACCATCAGCTGACACTCCAGCACCTTCAGCACCATCAGCTGACACTCCGGCACCTCCAGCACCATCAGCTGACACTCCGGCACCTTCAGCACCATCAGCTGACACTCTGGTACCTTCAGCACCATCAGCTGACACTCCGGCACCTTCAACACCATCAGCTGACACTCCGGCACCATCAGCTGACACTCCGGCACCATCAGCTGACACTCCAGCACCTTCAGCACCATCAGCTGACACTCCGGCACCATCAGCTGACACTCCGGCACCATCAGCTGACACTCCGGCACCATCAGCTGACACTCCGGCACCTCCAGCACCATCAGCTGACACTCCGGCACCTTCAGCACCATCAGCTGACACTCTGGTACCTTCAGCACCATCAGCTGACACTCCGGCACCTTCAACACCATCAGCTGACACTCCGGCACCATCAGCTGACACTCCGGCACCATCAGCTGACACTCCAGCACCTTCAGCACCATCAGCTGACACTCCGGCACCTCCAGCACCATCAGCTGACACTCCGGCACCTTCAACACCATCAGCTGACACTCCGGCACCTTCAGCTGACGGTCCGTCACCACCAGCTGACACTACAGCACCACCATGTGACCCGCACCATCAGCTCACACTCCCACATCAACTGACTCTCACCCAGCCCCAGTTGACGCTCCCACATCAGCTGACGCTCACCCAGCCCCAGCTGACGCTCCCACATCAGCTGACGCTCACCCAGCCCCAGCTGACGCTCCCACATCAACTGACTCTCACCCAGCCCCAGCTGACGCTCCCACATCAGCTGACGTTCCCACAGCAGCTGACGCTCCTACAGCAGTTGACGCTCCCACAGCAGCTGACGCTCCTACAGCAGTTGACGCTCCCACAGCAGCTGACGCTCCTACAGCAGCTGACGCTCCCACAGCAGCTGACGCTCCTACAGCAGCTGACGCTCCCACAGCAGCTGACGCTCCTACAGCACCTGACGTTCCCACAGCAGCTGACGCTTCCACAGCAGCTGACGCTCCTACAGCAGCTGACGCTCCTACAGCCCCAGCTGACACTCACCCAGACCCAGGTGACACTCCCACAGCACCAGCTGACATATATTTCCAAAAAACTACCTCAGATTTCCGAAAAACAGCCTCATATTTCAAAAAAACGGTCTCATATATCTGAAAAACGGTCTCAAATTCCTGAAAAACGGCCTCATATTTCTGAAAAACTGCCTCGGTTTCGTATTTTTGTAAAACGGTCTCACATTTCTAAAAAACAGTCTCGTCTTAGTGAAAAACAGCCTCATCTTAGTGAAAAACTGCCTGATATTTCTGAAAAACAGCCTCATCTTGGTGAAAAACTGCCTGATATTTCTGAAAAACAGCCTCATCTTGGTGAAAAACTGCCTGATATTTCTGAAAAACAGCCTCATCTTAGTGAAAAACTGCCTGATATTTCTGAAAAACAGTCTCATCTTAGTGAAAAACTGCTTCATATTTCTGAAAAACAGCCTCATCTTAGTGAAAAACTGCCTGATATTTCTGAAAAACAGCCTCATCTTGGTGAAAAACTGCCTGATATTTCTGAAAAACAGCCTCATCTTGGTGAAAAACTGCCTGATATTTCTGAAAAACAGCCTCATCTTAGTGAAAAACTGCTTCATATTTCTGAAAAACAGCCTCACCTTAGTGAAAAACTACCTCATATTTCTGAAAAACAGCCTCACATTTCCAAAAAACGGCCTTGTATTTTTGAAAAACAGCTTCATATTTCTGATGAACGGCTAAAACTACCTGAAATTTCACTGACATCACTTGGACTTGACTTTTGCCTGTGTGGCGTTTCTGTGGTATCACAAATAGCACTGTCTGAAGTTCCCACAAAACATCCCGAGGTTTCTGGAGTACCACGGGTTCTCCCCGAGGTTTCTGGAGCACCACCGGCGCTCCTCGAGGTTTCTGGAGCACCACCGGCGCTCCTCGAGGTTTCTGGAGCACCACCGGCGCTCCTCGAAGTTTCTGGAGCACCACCGGCGCTCCTCGAAGTTTCTGGAGCACCACCGGCGCTCCTCGAAGTTTCTGGAGCACCACGGGTTCTCCCCGAGGTTTCTGGAGCACCACCGGCGCTCCTCGAAGTTTCTGGAGCACCACCGGCGCTCCCCGAGGTTTCTGGAGCACCACCGGCGCTCCTCGAGGTTTCTGGAGCACCACCGGCGCGCCTCGAGGTTTTTGGAGCACCACCGGCGCTCCCCGAAGTTTCCAGAGCACCGCCGGCGCTCCTCGAAGTTTCCAGAGCACCGCCGGCGCTCCTCGAAGTTTCTGGAGCACCACCGGCGCTCCTCGAGGTTTCTAGAGCACCACCGGCGCGCCCCGGGGTTTCTGGAGCACCGCCGGCGCGCCTCAAAGTTTCTGGAGCACCACCGGCGCTCCTCGAGGTTTCTGGATCACCACCGGCGCGCCCCGGGGTTTCTGGAGCACCACCGGCGCTCCTCGAAGTTTCTGGAACGCCACCGGCGCTCTTCGAAGTTTCTGGAGCACCACGGGTTCTCCCCGAGGTTACTGGAGCACCACCAGCGCGTCTCGAGGTTTCTGAAGTACCACCGGCGCTCCCCGAAGTTTCCAGAGCACCGCCGGCGCTCCTCGAAGTTTCCAGACTAACACCAGTAAATTATGAACAATCTCTCATGATGGCTTCTGGCCGTCAGAGTTTACGTCCCATGCCAAGAGTAACAAGCCCGCGTCTTCACTGCCTAAACACACACCACCAGCCAAGTCTGAATGGTGGAGAAGCAAGGTGTAACAATCGTATAGAGATTCTGACCCCACCAGAAGAAGAGGAAGCTACCATTATATCTGCAAGAGACAAGTTTGCCCCAAGATTTTCTCCGTCCATGTTGACACCACCTGCAGAAGGCATGTTGCAATACAAGCAACAGAACTCTGAATTTTGTTCTACTCAACGCGCGCTCCACACCCGGCAGCTATACTGGCCGCAGCAGCCTGATGCACAGTGTCTGTCTTCGTTAAATCAACCCCCATGGGGTTCACCCTGGCAATATTACATGCACCATACTCAAACTGCACAGTACTCACAGTATTGCCAATCATTACAGGGTTTACTTGGTCAGAATCTTTCATGTCAGCACCCCCAGGGTTCACTTGCTCAAGACCTTCCATCACGTTATCAGCACCCACAGGGTAATCTTCCATCGCATCATCAGCAACCCCAGGGTTCACCTGCTCAGGACCTTCCATCACGTTATCAGCACCCACAGGGTAATCTTCCATCGCATCATCAGCAACCCCAGGGTTTACCTGCTCAAAAGCCATTACATCATCAGCAACCCCAGGGTTCACCTGCTCAGAATCCATCACATCATCAGCAACCCCAGGGTTTACCTGCTCAAAATCTTCCATCACATCATCAGCAACCCCATGGTTCATCTGCTCAAAATCCATCACATCAGCAACCACAGGGTTCACCTGCTCAAAATCCATCACATCAGCAACCACAGGGTTCACCTGCTCAGAACCCATCATATCATCAGCAACCACAGGGTTCACCTGCTCAGAATCCATCACATCATCAGCAACCCCAGGGTTCACCTGCTCAGAACCCATCACATCATCTGCAACCCCAGGGTTCATTTGCTCAAAATCCATCACATCAGCAACCACAGGGTTCACCTGCTCAGAACCCATCATATCATCAGCAACCACAGGGTTCACCTGCTCAGAATCCATCACATCATCAGCAACCCCAGGGTTCACCTGCTCAGAACCCATCACATCATCAGCAACCACAGGGTTCATCTGCTCAGAATTCATCACATCATCAGCACCCCCAGGGTTCATCTGCTCAGAATCCATCACATCAGCAACCACAGGGTTCATCTGCTCAGAATCCATCACATCATCAGCAACCACAGGGTTCACCTGCTCAAAATCTTACATCGCATCATCAGCAGCCCCATGGTTCACCTGCTCAGTATCCATATCATCAACAATTCTGGGGTTCACCTGCTCAGAATATTCCATTACATCATCAGCACTACAAGCGTTCTGCTCAGAATTCATCACATCATCAGCAACTTTGGGGTTCACCACATTACCAAGCTCTCCAAGGTTCATTTGTTCAGTACCCACAATCTCAACAACTCTTGCAGGGTACATATACACAATATCCACTCCATTACCAGTTTCAACAAGGTTCATTCGCACAATATCAGTCACTAAATCAATCCCCACATTGTTTTAAACAATACCCAAAAGAGCATCCAGCTTCACAAAGTTCTCATATACAATATCTACCTCCACATTTGCAAACCCCACAGAATTCACCTGCTCAGTATCCAGTATACCACAAATCCCCAAAGTGCCCTATTACTCAACATCATCAAAAATATACACACACTCAGTATTCTGAATCTACAGATTCAGGAAGACATATTACACAGTTATTGACTTGGTCCAAAAATTATGAACCAAAGAGTCAGTATCAACATCAACAATGGCAGCACTTCCACTCCACATCACAACAGCATACAGCGCAAAATTATTACCACAAAAAATTAAGGGGAAAAACACAAAATCGGCAACATTTGGGAGACGAGCATCTGCCATCCAGTGAAGTACAAATGCATGATCAACACATCCTAAGCAAGCAGGACTCTCAGACTGCAAGAGTGCTAACACACACAACTCACCACACGGCGTCCCAGTCATTGGCAGAGCAACAAATACCATCTACTAAACCTAATTATGAAGAGCAACATAAGAGGCTTCAGAGCTTATCATCTAATGCCCTGAATCTTAACAAAGGGTCTGAAAGCAGCTTACGTCAAATGGTTCCTATGAAGTTTGACAATGGAGTCCAGGATACAAACTTGAGACCAAGAGACGTCTTTCAGCAACAAATGAACCTCCAAAGACCAATGACAAACACTTTGAATCACACCTACAATTTAGAGGGAACCGGTGAACATCAGTTTGAATTGCCTACTCAACAACAAAGCCAAGATAATACTCAGAACTCGTGTCAAAAGATCTGCACTGTTGACAATGTGGTCCGGAATGATTACCTTAACAGTGAAAATCAACTAAGTAATGTATATTTAATTGAATACGTCTCAGAATCTTCAGCTATTTTTTGTCATACTTGTGACAGTAGAGTTACTAGGGAAAATTTCCTTGACCATCTGTTTTTTGGCAGACTTCAGTGTAATCACTGTTGTGATATTATTGTGAACTGCAGAAGCTTGCAGCATGTTAGGAGGTTTCCCGGAAAGTGCATGAAACATAAGAATTATAAACATAACTTTAGCAAGTGGCTTGAATGCCCAATCGATTACTTAAAATACCATATTACTCTAAAGCTCAAAGGTTTTGGAAAATATAAAAATGTTTCCCAACCAAATGGGGAAAATTTTGCCAGGTCATTTGCTGCCTACTTGAATAACTTAAAAATCTTAGACAAAGTAAATCCGTGGATGTCTGCCATTAGCCAGTGTCAAGAATACTTGGATTGCTCTGGTGTATTACTCGAGCTCTGTTCCAAGACATCATCTGGTGAAAAACTTATATATCAAAAAAATCTTGCTAAGCAAAGTACTAATATTCAAGAAACCAGTCCTGTCATGCAAAGTTCTAATGAGCATCAAAACAATCCTACTATGCAGAGTAGTGATGAGAAGCAGTACAATTGTACCATACAGAGCACCAATGATAATCAATGCAATCCCATGCAGAGCACTGATGAGAATCGATGCAATCCTGATAAGCATAGTTCTCATAAAAATCAAAACCAAACCAAACAGAATGCCCAAGAATTTAAAAATAAAAAACAGAGAAGCTACACCAAAACTTTATGGAAAAATGATAATAATCATTCAAAGAGTCTAGGCAAGACTAGAGAGAAAAACAGCAGTGTCACAAAGCAGCAAAATGAAAAAAATAAGCCAAGAAATAGCTTAGCAGTTGAACCCAAAAGTATAGAGAAACACACACTAGGAATTTCTTATGAACAAAAGAAAGAGCATCCCCCCAAAAAGGCACAGGATGCCAATAACATTTCTTGCCATGCATGGGACAGGAAGGACCAGGTAACCAAACAAAGGATTATCAGGGACGCCAGTGATATTTCACGAACACAAGCAGGAGTAACATTACAACCGGAGACTTGCCAGTCTGAAAGAATATTAGAAGGTGGAGTTCAGGAATCGGAAGTACCAATAGCTGAGCTTAACCCGAATAATTTGGTTAAAAAGAATGGAAAAAGAAAAATGAATGATTGTGACACTTATGCAAAGCATAGCAAGGCTCGGAAAACTGGGTTAGTGTGTAATGAAGAAGCCATTGCCAATTTACACACTCAAGTACAGTTACAATCAAAGGCTTGTTGGTCTCGAGGGTTGTTTCAATGTGCAAATTGGAAATCGGAGGAGCTTTCTCAACAGGAACCTTGTGAGCTTAAAGTGACTTCACCTGTGTATAAATCTGAAGAAATTTTACAGCAAGAATTTTATGAACTGGAACAAATTTCTCAGCCCGAAGCTTGTGGGGCAGGAATATCTGTACAACATGAAATTGTACAATCTAAAGTTATATCAGAAACTGATTGCTGTAAGCCTGACCCAATGCACCAGCTCGCCTGTCCTTCAGTTCCAGTACCACAGGTTACAGTTCGTGAACAATACGCAACATCTAAGCTTAAAATTTCTGATGTACGTGAACTGCAAACAAAGTTTTCACCTGTGGTTTGCCAATCAGAGACAGCGTACCAGCTAGCTGGGATCCAATCAGAAATGACATCTCAGCTTCTTGCACAACCATCAAAAGTAGACTCACAGTATGAAACTTTTGAACTTTCTGAAGATTCTAATCATTTCCCTGCACTAAATCCAAACAGTAGCATTTCATGCATTGAATCTTCAACAGAACTCGCCACAGGAGTGCAAGATGCCTCTGATATAGCCCCTTTAACAGAACTGGCCACAGGACCACAATATGGCTATTGTATGCCCACTTTAGGGAAACTGGCCCCAGAAGCACCACAAGATGACTCTAATGTGGAAGCTGCAAGTGGATGCGTGATTGAATCTCCAATAAGACCCGTCATAGAAATACCAGATGTGGCTGCTGCAATTGGGTACACAATTGAGGAAGATAGGAGTGGCTGCCTAACAATAAAGAAGAAAGAAATGTCCAGCTCAGTTGGAGAGAAGACAGCACAGAGGAAGATACTAGATTTACAGGCTGGGTGGATCGAGGGTGCTAGTGATGATTCCGGTGCTGAGATGGTGGCCCTTGTAGAGGAATCAAGATGTGGAGAAGAGAAGACACACGAAAATATGGAAATGCAAATTAAAAATGAATTGGAAGGTATTGCAGTATCATTTCCTGAAGAAGAATCCAATCCAAGAATAGAACATTGGCCTAGACAGATTTGGAATCCAACAGTGGTCAATGGAATTCAGTTACCCATGGACCATGTGGAAGACAATCGGTATCTGGTGATAAGATACCCCGAGGAGGAGTGCCCAGAAGAATGCCCTGAGTGCTATTGCACCTTCTGTGCATCCATGTTATACATTAACTATAAAACGTTGCTAATCACTCTTGTCTGTCCTGATTGCAATCTTTCCATTTTTATTGTCCCTGATGAGATGTCTATGAGCAGATTTTCCAAAGATGTAAAAAGGGCCAATTGGTCACTGTAAATGTGAATAACAAAATATAATTTTAAAGTGATATTTTACTGACATGCACTTTTTAATACAAGCTGCATATTGACAAAGATGTATGTACCATACATGTAATAAAATATATTTTTCTTAATTTGGTGTTTTTTCCAACCTTTTAAAACATACATTTAATTAAAATCTAAATGAAACAAGTAAGAGGTAAAGAAAATTATCTGCATTAATAAGAAGAGTGATTTTCAGATAACAATAAGTGCATGAATCCTTCTTTTAACACTGAGACTTAAATCTTTTTTTTTGATGAATAGAGGATACAAAGATTCGAAAATTTTTAAATTATTATACTGTAAAACAAAATAGAACAAATTAAGAACCAAGACAAAAATATAGACTAATCTAGATACTGTATTTAAGTACTTATCTGAATATGAGAAATATTGACAATGTTTATCTATAAATACTGTTCAACCTTTTCCCCTGCAATACCAAGGATTAAAATATTGGTAAAGAAAAGTACAGTATTTTTATTTTGCACTGCATTTCTATAAAAAGGTTTTATATAACTTTTTAACGTTTCTAATCAAATATTGTCCTATTATCTCAATACCAAGCCATTAGTGCTCCCAAGACAATATCATATATACTGTACAACCAATTTGATATATTTTATTTACAAAAAGCAAATTTTTTATACACGTGCATTTACATTTCTGATCAGAAAGAAGACAGCTTTTTAATATTTAACTATGCAAAAAAATCAGAACTGGAACAGTAGTTACATTACTTATTGTACATTTATTTAATGTAAGTAATTAAATGTCGAAGATGTGTTTGATCTTTACCCTCAGGCTTTGTAATTAGATGTCAATAGTGTGATGCATTTTGAGAAGTGTATACTGAAAAGCTGAACTAACAGCTGTTGTCAAGAAAAAAAATAAAATGGCCTACACTGGAAGTCATGTAAAGTTCATTGATTTTGGCTGCTTGTTTTGCAGACATTGCATGCTGAACCACTGCTCACCAGCATCTAAAATATTAACACCGATACCTGATCAACCAGGCTGTGATTCATACGTCAGGCTGCGAGCAGCTGCGTCCAACAGCCTGGTTGACCAGTCCAGCAACAAGGACCGGGCCGCGGGGACGCTGAGCCCCGAAACCATCACAAGGTAAGGTAACCATATTTAACCAGGTACTAATATTCACACCCAGGGGTCCAAGAGCTTAAATGCCGCATCTCCAGTTCTCAGGAATGTATCTTGAGGTTATCTTGAGATGATTTCGGGGCTTTAGTGTCCCTGCGGCCCGGTCCTCGACCAGGCCTCCACCCCCAGGAAGCAGCCCGTGACAGCTGGCTAACACCCAGGTACCTATTTTACTGCTAGGAAACAGGGGCATAGGGTGAAAGAAACTCTGCCCATTGTTTCTCGCCGGCGCCTAGGATCGAACCCAGGACCACAGGATCACAAGTCCAGTGTGCTGTCCGCTCGGCCGACCGGCTCCCTGTAACCCAATGTATCAAAACAGTAATGCCATTGTTAGGAATTGGTAGCATTCATCAACGAGTTAAGAATTGGACCTAATGTATAACCATCAAAAACTATTAAATTCGCATATTGAACTTCTTGAAACCCAACTTTTTATACTTGTTGCATAAAACTCGTCTCGGTGAAGAATTCAGATACCGTCTTGGAGAATCTTGAGTGCCCTCCAAATTGTTGAATCATTATACTGCCTACTGCCACCAATAATGTGTATGCAAGCAGCCCGTTCTTTCGAGTTGTCACTTCACAAAAAATGTAGCTAATTGGCCAAATGTAACCTAACCAAGCGACTTGCATAGAAAACGTGAGTGTTTGTGAGCTGATATGATTTATAGAATCCATTCTGTGTTCTTTTTGTTTATATAATTTCTGCTTTAATGTTGTATATCTTCAATGTTTGCACAGCTGTTCTTTGCTACTAATATCAGGTGTTGGAAAATAACAAGTGGATCAATATGTATGAATTTCTAAAGGAAGTCTGAACCTCATATCACATTATATAATTACTTTCTTGAATATGTGGTCCGAATCCTTCATTTGGACCAGACTCATATTGTCTACCCGTTGTCTCTTTGGCTGTTTCAACATCAGTAAATGAAATTACACATTTTCATTTCCTCAGGAAAATGTTGTAGGTTTACCCTAAAATAGGCAGTAGTCCTTAAAATTAAATCTTCCAGTAGGCTGATACATGCAGATACTGGACTGTATCATGTCGATAGCACTCCTATTTGATAACATTAACATTACAGTAATTCCATGCAATATTTTTTTCATGTATACTTTGCCTAGTGAAAGTCAAAAGTGTGTCCAGGCATTTTTCACTACCAATGTTTATACATTAGCTGCCTTTTATACTATGTGTGCTAGTGGCTTTACAAGATTGTAATTTCAACTTAAACTTTATGGTCTCTCTTAACCCCCAGTGTACTTTCTTGTATATAAATAAATAAATAATTACCACGAGTAACAGCAGGTTCACTGCCATCTAATGGTTCATTGCAAAACAAAACACATGCCTATTTTTTTCATTAATCTGAAAATATGCAAATAATTATTCATTGTGTCCAGGGACAGGAAGCTATAAAGTGTATTCATACACGTTAGGCTTATATATCGAGGTCTTGTATATGAGGGAGGGGAGGGGGGGAAATACGGGTGGGGAGGGGGGGAAATAAGGGAAGGGAAGGAGGGAAATACGGGTGGGGAGGAGGGAAATACGGGTGGGAAGGAGGGAAATACGGGTTGGGAGGGGGGAAATACGGGTGGGGAGGGGGAAATACGGGTGGGGAGGGGGGAAATACGGGTGGGAGGAGGGAAATACGGGTTGGGAGGAGGTGAAATACGGGTTGGGAGAGGGGGAAATACGGGTGGGGAGGGGGGAAATAAGGGAAGGAGGGAAATAAGGGAGGGGGAGGAACCACGTGGTCCCCAACACTCCAACAACCACTAGGCCTCATTACCACCGCTGACTCAGTACTGTTTCATGCCTGGAAGAGGGCGGGTGCTCCTCACACGCTCTCATGTTGAATGGGACTCTAATGTAATTGACAAGTGCCATTTTGTTATCAAAATTACAATATTTCAAGACGTATCCACTAATTTGGAATTGCAATTAGCTGAAAAGGGTAAGGTTAATGCTGGATTTTTTAAGTTTGTTTTCTTGGTCAAAAAAAAAATTGTGAAGCAAAATTAAATTTTGTTTGTCAATATATTTATAAAATATTTTCTAGGAATTCAGATTATTTCCAGAAAGTACAAATTCTTCTTTCGTCCTAAATATTAATTGCCATTAAATTAGGTCTATTTATTATCAGCAGGTAATGTATATGTTCACTGCCACGCCTTAGATAATTAATACACAACAATAACTACATTTTATTTTAAGTAATTTATTATAAAATGGTTCATATTAAGAACAAATGTTTATCGCAGGCGGCTAACAACCCAATGGTTCCCGGAAACAATTTCAGAGCAGTGAGACGTTAGGGCAGATTTCTTTATCCTGAGGCCCCTGTTTACCTAGCAGGAATAAATAGCTACTCGGGAGTTAGGTGTATATATATATATATATATATATATATATATATATATTGATATATTGTATATAAATATATATATCAATATATATATATATTGATATATTGATTTATATATATATATATATATATATATATATATATATATATATATATATATATATATATATATCCTGGGGGTTTCCCCAAGTCTTCTGGGGGGTTTCCCCAAGTCTTCTGGGGGCTCAACCTGTCCTCTGGTGGGTCTCTACATTCTCTATGGGGCCGCCCTGCACCCTCTAAAGCTCCCACGTCCCCTGGGAGACTCCAGCATTTTTTGGGGTGCGCCCAAGCCCTGAGGAGGGCTCCCTGCCCAAGCCGTCTTCAGACCAAGCCTATTCCATCCAACCGTCAACCCCAAAGACGTATTCACCAATTTAACATGCTGTTCATTCAAAACAAGAATTCTCTCAAATATAAATTATTTATATAAAGGAACCAATTCCTTTAATGAGTAAGAAACTACTGATACTGGCTAAAGATGCAGGAATCACTTTTGGGTCTTTGTTTGGAGGACGGACTGGTTTACAGTGTTGTGGTTCGAACAAAAGTCGTCAGCGAAGTACTTGTTCCGGAAGTGTTCGAACGGAACACTGATCAAAATCAGTCGAGTCGTGTGTAAACCGTTTTCATTCATAAACAGGGGTTTGGCGGGTGCATGGAATCACTTTTGGGTCTTTGTTTGGAGGACGGGCTGGACCTCGATAAGCAGCCCGTCCTTCTAATAAAGACCCAAGTGATTCCCTGCACCCGCCAAACCCCCTGTTTATGAATGAAAAAAGATTTACACACGACTCAACTGATTTCGTTCGAACACTTCCGGAACAAGTACTTCACTGATGAATTTTGTTCGAACCACAACGCTGTAAATGCTTCACCCACGTACTACAAATGCAAATAATCGCCAACAGAACCACTTCCTATCTCCCGTCTTTTGAATTGTTTTTTTGTTTATAATTTTTCGAGACGATTTGGATGTATTCACAAATTGTTATATTTAAAAAATCGCCCACGAACCAATTCCTTGAGTAACAAACTACTGGTATTGAACTACTCAAATTCCTTAACGCTCATCATTTTTTCTAACTGGTTTCTGTAACAATTTCTTGATCCACACTATGAGAGAATGTTAGAGAATGAGAGAATGAATGACTCCAGCAACATGCACTCTCCTCTCAAATATTCACGAAGAAATTATCATGACATACTTCCTAATACAGCGCGAGTAGGCTCCTCTCAATGTGGCCAGGTACTGGGGACAAGGGTCATAATTGCTTTTAGTGTGCGATCACTCTTAAATTAAGTCTCCCGTCTTCATTCGTTGTGAATCAGAATTGTTTACCCTTGTAAGTTCAGCTGTTGATTCACGAGGTATAATGTTTTGTTTCGTTCATTGATTGATTGATAAAGATTAAGCCACCCAAAAGGTGGCACGGGCATGAATAGCCCGTAAGTGGTGGCCCTTTTGAGCCATTACCAGTATCAAGAGCTGATACTGGTGATCTGTGGAGGTGCCACTGCACCCTGCGTGACGGGAGATGTCTCCCGTGTTCGTTTATTTCCACTCCCTGGATTATATGCCCATTTTCATTCATTACCCCTTTAACCCCACTCCTCCCTCTTTATCCATTGCCCCTTGCACTCCTCCCTCTTCATCCATTGTTCTTTTAACACCGTAGCACCACCCCTGCCACCTAAGGCCGGGGACAACTTAAGAGCTTATAATGATAGAGAATCTAAGAGCTGCTTGTCATTAAAGTTAATTACATTTGTTGCTACCACCTCTGCTTAATGAAACCTGCCAACCAAGAGTTAATTACCAACAACCTGTGTGATTTTAAGAGGACGGGTTGAGATAACAGGACCATTATATGACGAAACGCCGGAGGTAGGGTGTTCCACTGATACTCTGATGTTAATTAACAGATGATTAACAAAGATGTTAATAGCTCATCGTCATTGCTATCTAATGATCATTCTGTCTGCTGGGGTCGGTGACATCTATGACCCCGAGTCCTGTAAGGGTGTTCTCGCTGGGTCTGATTTTACCGATTCAGCTTTGCAATTGGAATATTTTCAGGCGGCTACTACTTTGCTTTCCTTTGGTTTGCTCTGCTCGTATTTGGCGTTTGCGGCATGTTGATTGTCTAGATGCCCAGGATTTGGCCCCGTATGTGTTTATGTACTCAAAATTGAAGGTGTTGGTGACCACCTAGAATAAGTCCTCACCTCTTTCTTCCCTTGCAAGTATAGTACATCCTATATAGGGCTTAACGGTTAAGTGGACAGCGCTCGGTATCCGTAGTCCTTTTTTCAGCTAGACTGGTCGAGATGGGGGGTGCTTTTTACCTTTTTCCCCCCAGTTTAGTTGACGTTTCGGGTGCTGTCTAGTCTGGCGTTAAACTTGAGGGGGATCCTTCTGGCCTCTTGGTGGCTGGCCCAGCCTTGGTTTCCAGCAATGAGTTTCGCCCAGTATCTGAACCCTGACAATTTTCAAGGTTTGCTCTTACTTCTGGCTGTAAGGCCGGGGAACTTAAAGCTCTTCTCTGGGGGCAGGCGATTCTGTTCTTTGGTTGGCAGGTTGTTCGTTTCTTTCTCCTTTCTGGCGAAGTGTCAGCGGGCTTCTGGAAGGTTCCTTTGACGATATTTCCTTGATTGGTTCACCTTTTATTGTTTAGTGGTGGCTCTTTGCCGTTACCTTAGAGCCATTGGCTCAACCGTGCTTTGGCCTTGTTTTCTTGGGAGGTTGAATGAATAATTTGTGTGTGAAGTTTGTGGATTTGTTTAGCAGTTATGAGCCTTCATTTTCTGTAAATCCTCCAGTTCTTTGTAAGATTTTGGAAGCTTTTACCAATGAGATGGAAAATTCTCATTCTCCATGCGCCTCTTGAGGGGCTAAATTCTGGCTCTAGTTCCTGGTAGGCCAAACAGAGCTTCCACAATTGGTTACCTTTTAGTATGGTGCAATCTGAGCAAGATAGCTTCAGGAACCCACCAGGGCTTGCCCAGAAAAGCGTTTCATTATTCAACACTGGGTTTTTGCAGTGAATTATCATTATTTTGTGAATTATAATTTTTTGTCAATCATGTGTTACCATTTATGACAGCACAAAGGGTTAAAAATTATCAACATTGGCTTTTGTTATATCTTTGTTTGAAATGTTCTTGTTATCCAGTCTACCATTTTTCTTACAATTATATACATATTCTACTATGATCTTTCCGTTTTTGTGGGTTACCATATTGTCACGTTTTCACAGATATTTAACGTTACCTTTGCAGGTGTTATTGATGGACTAGCAGCAGCAAGTACTGTTCACATCATTGATAGGACCACTGTCATGGCTACTGTTCAATAGCACCACTAGGATTTTTCCATGGCCCCGACTGGTGTTTCCATGGCCCCGACTGGTGTTTCCATGGCCCCGACTGGTGTTTCCATGGCCCCGACTGGTGTTTCCATGGCCCCGACTGGTGTTTCCATGGCCCCGACTGGTGTTTCCATGGCCCCGACTGGTGTTTCCATGGCCCCGACTGGTGTTTCCCTGGCCCCGACTGGTGTTTCCATGGCACCGACTGGTGTTTCCATGGCACCGACTGGTGTTTCCATGGCACCGACTGGTGTTTCCATGACACCGACTGGTGTTTCCATGGCACCGACTGGTGTTTCCATGGCACCGACTGGTGTTTCCATGGCACCGACTGGTGTTTCCATGGCACCGACTGGTGTTTCCATGGCACCGACTGGTGTTTCCATGGCACCGACTGGTGTATCCATGGCACCGACTGGTGTTTCCATGGCATTGCCAGAAGTGTCACCAGCATTACCAGAAGTATTGCCAGCATTACCAGAAGTATTGCCAGCATTACCAGATGTATCGCCAGCATTACCAGAAGTATTGCCAGCATTACCAGAAGTATTGCCAGCATTACCAGAAGTATCGCCAGCATTACCAGAAGTATTGCCAGCATTACCAGATGTGTTTGTAACACCACCAGGAAATTCCACAGTAGCAGTGAAAGTTTCTGCAACACTGCTGGAGATTTCTGCTTCATCATCAAAGGACTCTGGAGCTCCCTCAGGAGTTTCCACAGTACCACAAAAAAATAATAAAGAACAAATGTACCTGCTGACTCGTCTCCATCGTCAAAACGATGGCATGAAGACTTATAGTAGGCGTGTAAAAATACCAACTCTGCCAGAAAAAGTAATCCTTGGAGCTAAGAAGTTTGCTCAATGTGTTTCTCCAGCCGTGGTGCTTGTACAATGTACACCACATCAACAATCTTCACAAAATTCACCATCTTCCCAATCAAAACATAGTTTGCCTGTACAATATTCATCAATACAACATCAATCATCACAAAGTTTCCCTGTGCAATACAAATCAAAGCATCAACATCCCCCACATGGCATTCCTGCACAATATCCAGCATCACATAAACAACCCAAACATCATTCATCTGCACATTATCTGCCACCAAAACACAAACCATCTCGATACATTATACCACCACAGCGAGGGCAACATTCAGCAAGATATTATTCTCGGTTACAGGTACTAAACAGGGATAATGTGCAAAAACAATCTCACCATCAGGGACCACTGCATCACCAAGAACTACATCAACAGCAATATCAAGGACCTCTGCAACAACTTCAGCAGCAGCAGCATCAAGTGCCACAGCCGCAGCAGCATCAAGTGCCACAGCCGCAGCAGCATCAAGTGCCACAGCCGCAGCAGCAGCATCAAGTGCCACAGCAGCAGCAGCAGCATCAAGGGCCACAGCAGCAGCAGCAGCATCAAGGGCCACAGCAGCAGCAGCAGCATCAAGGGCCACAGCAGCAGCAGCAGCATCAAGGGCCACAGCAGCAGCAGCAGCAGCAGCATCAAGGGCCACAGCAGCAGCAGCAGCAGCATCAAGGGCCACAGCAGCAGCAGCAGCATCAAGGGCCACAGCAGCAGCAGCAGCAGCAGCAGCATCAAGGACCACAGCAGCAGCAGCAGCAGCATCAAGGGCCACAGCAGCAGCAGCATCAAGGGCCGCAGCAGCAGCAGCAGCATCAAGGGCCACAGCAGCAGCATCAAGGGCCACAGCAGCAGCAGCAGCAGCATCAAGGGCCACAGCAGCAGCAGCATCAAGGGCCACAGCAGCAGCAGCAGCAGCATCAAGGGCCACAGCAGCTGCATCAAGGGCCACAGCAGCAGCAGCAGCATCAAGGGCCACAGCAGCAGCAGCAGCAGCAGCAGCAGCATCAAGGGCCACAGCAGCAGCAGCAGCATCAAGGGCCACAGCAGCAGCAGCAGCAGCATCAAGGGCCACAGCAGCAGCAGCATCAAGGGCCACAGCAGCAGCAGCATCAAGGGCCACAGCAGCAGCAGCAGCATCAAGGGCCACAGCAGCAGCAGCAGCATCAAGGGCCACAGCAGCAGCAGCAGCATAAAGGGCCACAGCAGCAGCAGCAGCATAAAGGGCCACAGCAGCAGCAGCAGCATCAAGGGCCACAGCAGCAGCAGCAGCATCAAGGGCCACAGCAGCAGCAGCAGCATCAAGGGCCACAGCAGCAGCAGCAGCATCAAGTGCCACAGCAGCAGCAGCATCATCAAGTGCCACAGCAGCAGCAGCAGCATCATCAAGTGCCACAGCAGCAGCAGCAGCATCATCAAGTGCCACAGCAGCAGCAGCAGCATCATCAAGTGCCACAGCAGCAGCATCATCAAGGGCCACAGCAGCAGCAGCATCAAGGGCCACAGCAGCAGCAGCAGCATCAAGGGCCACAGCAGCAGCATCATCAAGGGCCACAGCAGCAGCAGCATCAAGGGCCACAGCAGCAGCAGCAGCATAAAGTGCCACAGCAGCAGCAACACCACCCAGGGCCACAGCAGCAGCATCAAGGGCCACAGCATCATCCAGGGCCACTACAGCATCATCAACAAGGGCCACAGCATCATCAACAAGGGCCACAGCATCATCAACAAGGGCCACAGCATCATCATCAAGGGCCACAGCAGCATCATCATCAAGGGCCACATCAACATCATCAAGGGCCACAGCATCATCATCATGGGCCACAGCAGCATCATCATCAAGGGCCACAGCAGCAGCATCATCAAGGGCCACATCAACATCATCAAGGGCCACATCAACATCATCAAGGGCCACAGCATCATCATCATGGGCCACAGCAGCAGCATCATCAAGGGCCACAGCAGCAGCATCATCAAGGGCCACATCAACATCATCAAGGGCCACAGCATCATCATCAAGGGCCACAGCATCATCATCATGGGCCACAGCAGCAGCATCATCAAGGGCCACAGCAGCAGCATCATCATCATCAAGGGCCACATCAACAATTGCAGCAACAGCAACATCATGGACCACATCAACAGCAGGGACATAAGCAGCATCAAGGGTTCTATGAACAGGCACATCATGGACCACATCAACAGCAAGGACATAAGCAACATACAGGGTTACAGCAACATCAAGGACCAGAACAAATACAACAACTTCAGCTATGGCAGCAACAGCATCATCAAGGGTCACGGCAACAACTGCTAAAGAAGTGGCAGCAATGGCAGCAACACCAGCAATGGCAGCAGCTGCAATGGCAGCAGCAGCAGCAATGGCAACAGCGGCAGCAGCAGCAATGGCAACAGCGGCACCAGCAGCAGAACCAGCCACCACAGCAGCAGCAGCACCAGCCACCACAGCAGCAGCAGCACCAGCCACCACAGCAGCAGCAGCACCAGCCACCGCAGCAGCAGCACCAGCCACCGCAGCAGCAGCACCAGCCACCGCAGCAGCAACATCAGTATCAAAATTTACAGCAGTATAAGCAAAATGATGTACGTGTATATGTGCATCCTAAGAGGAAACGGCACTTCACGTGTGATTCAGAAGAAAGTTCACACCAACAATCAAGTGTCCAGAGAGTGGGGAATGAGTGTCAGAATGACATTAACCCAAAATCACAGCCAAAACCAAAAAAGAAAAATATAAAAAATAATCAGAAAGAATCCAATAACTTTATGCATGTATCAGAGTCGGTCTCGGATGTCAGTGGCTTCAGTAATGCAACAAGCAACATGAAAACACATTACAATGTCTCTACAGCAGACAGTATGCTTGGAAAGAGCAGCATTGATTGTAGAAATCCATTAACCCAATTACAAAATGCAAACATTCCACAAACGCTGTGCATTATGTGCCATACTTGTGGCAATCGAGTAGAACGGAAAAATTTCTTGGATCATCTGTTTTTTGGACGACTTCAGTGTTACCTTTGTTGTGATACCATTGTGACCTGCCAGAGATTTAAAGATAAAGATTTTGAAGGAAATTGCATGAAGCACCCACATGGTCATCATGACTTCAGCAAGTGGCTTGAATGCCCTGTTACATACTTAAAACATTATATAATGGAAAGTCTGACTAATTTTCAATTATATGGGAATGTTATGGGTCCACCAAATTGGACTAATGTTATTTTAGCAATCACTGACTACCTGAATGAATTAAATATTTTAGGGAATTTTAATCCTTGGATGTATGCCATTTTGCAGTGTGAAGTAGATATGGACAGTCTCAAGCTATTAGTTGAACCATCCCTGGATACTACTAAAATAAAATTTTCTAATGAATTCAGTCACACCAAACAGAATACTAAAATAACATCCAGAAATAAAAACAAAGCCAATCAGAAATCTCAAGAAAAATGTAAAAATAAAACCAAACTGAATAACCGTACAAAAACATTAGCGTCAAAATACATAAATAATCATCCAGATTGTCAAGCCAAGAGACGAGAGGAAAGTAGTTCTGTGATGCAGCAAAACACCACCGATGGCCCAATAAAAGAGCCATTGGTAGGTGAATCAAAATGTGTGAAATCACAACAGCCGGGAAAAACTTTTAGTGATAGCTATGAGGAAATAGAGTTGCAAAAAATGCAAGAGAAAAATAAAATGGTCAATGATGACAGTGACATAAAATTTAAAGAGGAATCCAGGGTAATGTGTAACAAAGAACAAAGTGACATTCCACTATTACATGCCAGGGAAATGTTACATCAAAAGATTTATAAGTCTCAAGGTATGTTACACAAGGAACCTTGTAAATCTGAAGTGACTCGACTACAGGTGGCGTGCAAATCACAGATATTACAAGACGTTAATGTAGCAGAGAAAGTATCACAATCTATGGTTTGCAAGTCTAGTGTAATTATGCAGCATGAATTTGTCCAATCAAGGGATATATCGCAGCAAGTGACTTGTCAGTCTGAGTCAATATCCCAGCTTGGAAATTTTCAAGCACAAGAACCACAAGTAGTGCTTCTTGCAGTGAATTGGCCCCAGCTTGGGGCCGCTTCGGAGGCAACGCCCCAGCTTGGGGCCGATTCGGAAGCAACGCCCCAGCTTGGGGCCGATTCGGAAGCAACGCCCCAGCTCGGGGCCGATTCGGAAGCAACGCCCCAGCTCGGGGCCGATTCGGAAGCAACGCCCCGGCTCGGGGCCGATTCGGAGGCAACGCCCCGGCTCGGGGCCGATTCGGAGGCAACGCCCCGGCTCGGGGCCGATTCGGAGGCAACGCCCCGGCTCGGGGCCGATTCGGAGGCAACGCCCCGGCTCGGGGCCGATTCGGTGGCAACGCCCCGGCTCGGGGCCGATTCGGTGGCAACGCCCCGGCTCGGGGCTGATTCGGTGGCAACGCCCCGGCTCGGGGCCGATTCGGTGGCATCACCCCGGCTCGGGGCCGATTCGGTGTCATCACCCCAGCTCGGGGCTGATTTGGTTGCAATGCCCCAGCTCGGGGCTGATTCGGAGGCAACGCCCCAGCTTGGGGCCAATTCGGTGGCAACGCCCCAGCTTGGGGCCGATTCAGAGGCAATGCCCCAGCTTGGGGCCAATTCGGTGGCAACGCCTCAGCTTGGGGCTGATATTAAGTTAGTGTCGTCCCAGCTTGAGAGTGATTTATTGGTGGCACCTGACAATGCATGCACTGTGTCCTCAGAGGCAGCAGGCATAAGAGTGCAGAATGTTTCCAACTTGGCCACTACCACCGAATACTCTGAGGATATGAGAAAATCACCAAGCATAGTTGAGAACCCATCAGCAGAAAATTCAATTTTGTATGCAGTGCTGCAGGAAACACTAAACATAAAGGTTGAGAGGACGCAGTGTGCTAGCGAGATGGTCACTGCCGAAATGTTGATCCCAGCAGAAGAATCAAGTTTCAGAGAAAAGGATAAGATAAAAGAACATATGGAAACTAAGAAGACTGGAGATGGATTGACAGGCATTGAAGTTTCACTTGTCAAAGAGGAATACAGTCCAAGTGCAGTACACTTGACAGAACAAATTTGCAATAAAATATTTGTTGATGGAATTCAGCTTCCCATGCACTTGGTGGATGGTAATAGGTTCCTGGTGGTAAGATACCCAAAAGAGCAGTTACCAGAGGAGTGCCCTGAATGCTATTACTCCTGTGCATCCATGTTCACCTATGACTGGGGTATTATATTAAAAATACTTGTTTGTCCAGACTGTGGCCTTACCATTTTCATTACTTGTGATGATGCTTTAGTAAAATCACAAAAGTGCTAACCAGCTACTGTATTGTAAATAAAGTACAGTATGTACACATAAGAATTTTCAGCTGACTACAGCTTCACTGTCAGTTTTGGGTTATTCTTATGTGACTGTGCTATATATTGTATACTGTACAGTACTCTTATTCAGCCATAATTGAAATTCATTACTATGGGCTATTTTGTTTGCTTTTGCCAGTCTTAAGTTCTTAATTGCTTAGAGTATGACATATAACTCTGCTGTTCTTATTTGGGTAGATGACTGCAGAGAACCTGCAACTATCTACTTAAATATACATGAAGAATGTTGCAGATGAGGAATCACAATAACGTGGCTGAAATTGTTGACCAAACCACACACTAGAAAGTGAAGGGACGACAATTGACTTGAGAATGGTCCAGGACGGACCGAAATGTCAGTCGTCCTTTCACTTTCTAGAGTGTGGTTTGGTCAACATCAAGAATGTTTATTGCTGTATTTGTGTGTGGTATCTACAAAAGTTTATTTCTGGCACTTCTCAAGGTTGTGTTGTATATTATACTGTATAGGTGGAATAGTACAAATGTATATACCAATATGTATATAGACATTACAAAATTGGAGTGACCAACATAGTGCTCACACTAAAAAAGAAAATTATGTGAAGCCCATTTAGAAGTGCTCAATTAGCATAGCAGAATTAATACTAAAAACATTTTGATGCACAAATAGCACAACAGTGATTGCATAATTTATATATAAATTTGTTTCAGTTCACTGAAGTAAACTGCAAAACCATAGTTTCTTACCAAGTGGTAACACAAGAGGTCTGCCATAAATGATTGAGAGTACAAAGTTCAGGGTATCTGTATACAAATAGATTAGACATATTTTTCTAGATACTATATATTTCTGCTCTTCATATTACTGTATATTTGTATAAATAAACAAGTTTGTATTCTTTCCAGTGATCTGTTGCTCTTTAACTTCCTTCTTTAAAACCTTTCTATATGACATTGTACTCTTGTCTTGCTTGTAAACCAAGCTCTGTATAAACATTTGTGATATAAATGTAGTAAATTGTATAAATCTTGAAATTTTACATCTCTTGATATCCTAATAAGATATCTACTAAATGCTGTATAACAAGAACTTTCAGGAAACTGCAAAATGAATCAAATGTACAACAAATAAATATCAATTTAAAAATTGACCTGTTGTTTTCTTTGTTAATGTTAAAAATTTTGTGTGATAATGGAGCCTGCCTGTTGCTTATTTTAGCCCAGTCTAGTACACAGCGATACATGGTTGATACCTGGTTGATGGGGTTCTGGGAGTTCTTCTATTCCCCAAGCCCGGCCCGAGGCCAGGCTTGACTTGAGAGTTTGGTCTACTAGGCTGTTATTATAGATAGTGCTATACACTATCGTATATCTCGTATTATATATACTGTACATATATCGGCGTCACTGGTGATTTGGTTTCAGTGTCTGGTTTTTAATTTTGTCAAGAGTGGAAAATGTAACTTCACACACGTCACTTAAAAAAAAGCAACAACAAAATGCTAATTAAATTTAAGAATGATATTCCTTTGAAACATTCAAAATATTGATGACGATAATGATTGCTTACTGATTATAAACCCCTCTAACTATGCAGATTTAAATCATTCATTGTCTTCCATGCACACAACAAACATTCCCATTAAAATTATTTTTTGAATAATATTATAAATTAGAATCCAGGAAGCACAACAATCCATGTAAAGTCTCTACAAAGGTTTGAAATTGTAGTCAAAAATTATTAAAAATGTTAGATGTTGAAAAAATCTACTAAATATGATAGCACCATTGTCCAATTGATATTACAAAATAAACCTGACAATTTTTTGCAAAAGAAAATAATGAATCTCCATCCCTAGTTAGGAATGGGATCTCATCTCATCCCTTGTTAGGCCTGTTAGGGATCTCATCAACCCTTGTTAGGACTCGCCGAACTCCAGTGATACATGTGGGAATAATCAGCCGCCATTTCTAAGTACTTTTAAGCATATGTTTCAAAACCACATTAAAACTATCTTGCATAATCTTAAAAGCTAAAGTTCATTTTGAATAAGATTCAAATATCAACTCCAAGTTCAGGGGCATTCTACTCCCCAGAACTTGAGAGCAAAGTCCAATAAGCAGTTCCTTAAGGCAGCCCACAGGCCCACATATCCAGTACAACCCAGTTAGTCTAGCACTTCTTGCAGAAAACTTCTGCCATTTTCTTTCTGGCAATATTTCTTATAGTTGCTCAGAGGATATTGAACAACTGTGGACTTCTTATGTCCATAAAGTATTCTCATTGTGTATGGCACTGCTACTCTTCGCTGGCTCTATTCTGCACTTCTTTCCCTATCATTCACTCCAGGATTGTGTTATTTTACTGTGCAAGTGCTTAATTTAGATCAATCCCTTCACCTATAAATTTAGTCTTTTCTAGCCAATATTCATTTAAACTTTACATGCCTGTAAAGTACAATTATAGTAGTAAGCCAGTTATCACATTTCATTTCTACACATATTGTATGTAATCATGCATAGACTGTATTAAACCTCTTACCAAGTATCTCTGATAATCATCAATTTAATTATTAAAACTGCAATTACAGTATTATACAGCAAGCCTTGGTCAATAATGTACTGTATTGGCAAATCACCATAATATATCAGTACTGTCTCTTAATGTAAATGTAAGGTTTGTGAGCAAATACCATGGTGATGATAGTGCCGTACTGCAACCACTAAACAACAAATTCACTTTTGTAATATTAACAGAAACATAACTAAATGGTGATTGTTTAGACTGAACCGGAAAGGCAGTGGTACTGAAGTTTACCGTGACCAGAAGCTAACGTGCACCAAAGTTATTAGATCTACACACACCTGTGGAGAATACACATTTTCCCCAATTTAAAATCGAGAGTTTGGACACTAACTTTACAGTGGAACTGTGCAGAGAATTCCTAACAGATTAACATAACCTTCAGAAATTTAATAAGCAACAAATTTTAACAAAAATCAACTACTGTAATACCAACACAAGATTTTATTGACCTTTGCCAGCTAATACTCATGATCATCAAACCCACCAGAATTACTCGAGTAACTGCTTCCATCCTTTATCATCTTCAGAATAATCACTGATGGGACAAGAGACCACTACCCTACACTTTTATTAAGAATCAAATCATTGTCTGAAACAATGAAGATTATATTTATACTACACAAATAAGCTAGTTTTGGTCCCTAACTGAATGACCTTGCCAACATTCCTGCTGGTGAGCCCTGTCCTTTCCTCTTCCTTTCTTTTATTGTTGGGATCTTGTGGTTATCTTGTGATGATTTCGGGGCTTTAGTGGCCCCGCGGCCCGGTCCTCGACCAGGCCTCCACCCCCAGGAAGCAGCCCGTGACAGCTGACTAACACCCAGGTACCTATTTACTGCTAGGTAACAGGGGCATAGGGTGAAAGAAACTCTGCCCATTGTTTCTCGCCGGCGCCCGGGATCGAACCCGGGACCACAGGATCACAGTCCAGCGTGCTGTCCGCTCGGCCGACCGGCACCAACTGGGATGGCCAGTGTACAGAATTCTCTCTCAGTACATGCCAGTAACGTATCCCTCTGTAATTAATTATCAAAAGAAGCACCAAACTGGAAAGATCATTTAGCACCACCTATGTCGCAGGATATTTAAAATATGAATACTGTATCATGCAGGATGCCAAACCAAAAGCAAAAATGCTTGAAGCGAGTGACATCAGAAGTATCTGATACACTAAAAGGTCTTTTGAGAGATATTAAGAAAGCAAGACTGATGGCCATCCTGAAAATTAAAACATTCCATAAGTAGGTGCACAACTGTAGGTGGGGAAATGCAGTTTGGATAGTAAGTGTCCACAAGTTGAATGGGTGTGGCCAACATATGCATCTAGCCAGAGCCGTTTCTCGCCACCTATTATGGAGGCAAGAGGAATGCCTCGGGGATATGTCACGTTTTAGAGAACACAGTTTAACCATAATTCCAGTGTGGTGTCTGCAAATTCCTCAAGGCAAATCCAGTGACAGTGGTAAGCATTGCTTACCCTATAAAAATTCCTCTTTAAATTAAAATACAATATCTTCATTTAGTAAACATAATTGAATTATAGCATTCAGCAATTTTTTAACTCTGATTTTCAAGTGACACTTGCTGCTATTTTTAATGCACAGTACAATAAAGTCAGGTGGAATACTGTTGCACAATAATAGCCCCACTTGCTGGAGCTGGAGAAATTACTGACTTGGAGAATGTGCAAACATACTGCATTGTTAGAATCCACTCAATAAAAACACCTAAATTACCAGGAAAATAAAATCTAAAACTTTCTCTAGAGTGCGATTGAGAAATATTCATAATCTATACTTTGAAAAATATTAAAGGTACTGGTTCAAAATCTGCAAACAAATTACATCTCAGGAGGCATGGCAGGATGTGCAAAATAGCTCGGTTGAAAAGCAGAGATGCAATAAGCAGGCTGGGAGAACTCGACATCAAGGGCCCAAGACTTTTCAAGACGTTCTTGCTACACATAAGGGACGTAACTAGCTAACCCCTCTCAGTGATCAAAGGAGAACTCGACAAACCTTCAGAGGAGACCTGATCAACCAGGCTGTGTTTACTAGTTGTGTTTTTACGGGGGTTGAGCTTTGCTCTTTCGGCCCGCCTCTCAACTGTCAATCAACTGTTTACTAACTACTTTTTTTTTTTTTTTTTCCCACACCACACACACACACCCCCCAGGCAGCAGCCTGTGACAGCTGACTAACTCCCAGGTACCTATTTACTTCTAGGTAACAGGGGCAATTAGGGTGAAAGAAACTTTGCCCATTTGTTTCTGCCTCGTGCGGGAATCGAACCCGCGCCACAGAATTACGAGTCCTGCGCGCTATCCACCAGGCTACGAGGCCCCTACGAGGCTGTGATTCATACATCAGGCTGCATGCTTCCACATCAAACAGTCTGGTTGACCAGACCACCAACCAGGAAGCCTGGTCAGAGATTGGGCAGCGGGGCCCATCACAAGATAAGGTAAGGTACGGTTTCGATAATCGTCTTCCTAAGTAAATTAAACATTAAGGTTATTGAAACAAAATATCCATAGTATTTCTCAAATAAAATAAATCCTATATACAAATTAAGTATTGATTACAAAATCAAATACCACAAATATTACACAAGACTGTACATGAATAGTTAATTTGTATTAAAATTATTAATACAAAGGTTCAAGTAATTTAAATATAAAAAGATTAAAATAAAATCATTTAGTTTAATTTAATTTAATGGATTTTTTTTTTTTTTTACAAAATTCAAATACATATGTACAAACAACTCTCGCATAATTTAAAATATTAAACTGTTTTGTATTAATATATCACAATGTATCTGCAATAATGATTTCTGGTAATACTGTACATGTAGCAATTGTGGGAGAATGTGTACAAAATCTTGACTACAGAGTATTTCAAATCTGCAAAAACATAACCCCTCTTTGGCATAATATAAGCAACCTTAGGGCTAATATAGTACATATATGTACTAGGCTAGGAACACGTTGGCCTGGGTTTGTATCCTGGCCGGGGAGGATTGACTGGGTGCCAATCCGTAACTGTCTCCTCTGTTCACCCAGCAGTGAATGGGTACCTGGTTGTTAAACAATTTGGCGGGTCGTATTCCGGGAAAAAGTTGGGATTGAGGACCTGCTCGAAACACTATGCGTGCTAGTGGCTGTACAGGAATGTAAGAACTCGTGTACAGTATATATAAAATTTTTTTTAAAAAGGAGAGGCTAGGATTTTTGCATATTTTAAATACAGTACTCTTTAGTAGTCCAATAATACAAAAGGTGGACTTTCTTTGGGTGCAACAGTCTAGATTTTTGCACCTACTTCCCCACAGTTATTTATGTACTAAAAGGTTTGGGTACATATCTCAAGGCACACATTTGTCATTTGCACATTGTAGTTGGATATACTGTACATGCAAGTACAGCATATATAGACACACATCTTGATACAGAAGGAATCACATTACATTTCACACACACTTCAAACTTTATAAAATACTCTTTTCATCAATTTAATAACAAAAACAAATATAACATGTGGTATACAGTGTGTATATACATACAGCTTTTACTTTTAGTAGCTTTTACAAGCTGAGAGTTATAAGTATGTGAGGGCATAGTATGTGTGTATTCACCTAGCTGTGCTTGCGGGGGTTGAGCTCTGCTCTTTTGGCCCACCTCTCAAATGTCAACCAATCAACTGTTACTAACTACTACAGTACTAATTTTTGTTTCCCCTGTGTAAACACACTATGCAAAAAAAGGAACCTAGTCTATGGAACTCACCTTAATGAATTAAAAAGCTGTCCAATCTACGCCTCATTCAAAAGTAACACCAAAAAGTACCTAATTTCATGCTCATAGTTTTCTACTTAATGCATCACACTCACACTGTATTGTGGGCTACTCCAAAATGTACGCCTAAGCCATATAACTTCACCATTGTAATCACTGCCATCATCTTGTATTATGGTGGTTATGTTGAATCAAAAAATTTTACTTCAAAAAATGTACCTTGAAATAATCCTCAAATTATGCTACCTGTACAATGTACCTGTCGATAATCCTCAGATTTTTACTAAAATGTACCTACTAATTTTCTTCAAATTTTTTTTACAATGTACTTTTTATTTTTTTATCAATTTTGCTACAAATTACCTTCTTAAAATTATCAGTTTGATTAAGGACCTGTCTGAAATGCTGTGTGTTAGTGGGTTTACAAGAACATAAAAACATCAATGCTATGTACTGTACTTTCATAAACCCATTGTACCTTCTTGTATATATATATATATAAATAAATAAATAAAATCAGATTTATTAAGGTACTACAACTCCTTAAATACTTTTCAATTTTAAGACAAAATTCAAATGTTTGGGTTGCATTACTGTCCCTCAATACTTTAAACACACTCAATTTTACAATCAAATCCTTCATAAAACATTTTAAAGTTGTCTCACTCTCTTTTTTTATCAACACAGTACTAAAAACTTTCAATGATGTCCTTCAACTGGAATAACTCGCCTTCCACCTTATACCCTTTTACTTACACCACATAAATGTTTTTCTTATTTAGAAGTGCTTCTCAAAAGTCTCCCTGCAGCTTCACACTTCATTTTTAGTATTGGAAAATAAAAAGTTTGATACACAATAAACAGAATGTATCAACAAAATATCCATCTGTAGCTGAATGAAACTGCTTCAGCATTAATATTAGGGTGGTTGGATGTTATAACACTCTGGAAATGTTCGTACAATCAATAAGCTTCTCATAAAGCAGTAAAGATCAAATACTGACAAAGCAATTACAGGCAAATTGTAAACAATATAACTACTGTATATACCAGCTTTAAGTTTCTCATGCAAGTCCCATTATTCTCTTTTGCAACTCTAATCGCTCTTTCAAAACTGGTAAAATATATATATGGAGTGAGCAGCCTGGGCACACAACCTGTATAACAAATGTAGAGCAACTGACAGTAACATTGGATGGGTACAAAGAACAATAACATTCAGGACACTCATCAGGGCACTTCTGAGGACTACGTAAAACTAAATACCGACCATCTATCAGTTTAAGTGGGGATATGAAGCTAAACTTTTCCTGTTGGATCTCAAGTTCCGTATCACTCGCCACAGACTCTTCATGTCTTGCACTGAGTTTTTCAATTTTAATTTTTTTCTTAACACTGGAAGGCCCAGCAGTATAGTGTTTCCTTTTCCCCTTTGATCTCGGAACTTTTTTATCCACTGAGCTGCAGTTTCCATTATCTTTTAACTGATCCAGACTATCGGAATCAGGAAAATTGATCTCCTCCCGTTTTGTAAGCGATAAACTCTTTACATCTGGCCTATTGCACATAGATGTCCTGATATTTTTCTTATGTGAGCCACTTAATGTTTGGGATTCAGAAGATTTTGTTATTTTCTGTACATTGAAACTTTGAATATATTGCTTCATTGCCTCACCATCAACAGTATCTTCATTGGAATTATCAATATCACTAAATAACACAGGAGATTTGCATCTTTCTACCAGATGTTCCATGGATAACAAGTGAGTGTTGCTAGCATTTGCCAGTGAGCCAGCTTCATTTGAATTCTCATCTGTATCCCCATCAGAAAATGTAATGATATCATCATATTTACTGTTATAATCGTCATTAGTAGTTTGCAGTGCTGTGTTTTGCTCTTCACTGTTATTAAGATTACATGTTTGCAGTGTTGTGTCTGATTTTATGACACCATTACTAGCTGGTATTGTTTGTGGCACCATGTCTAATTTATTGCCATCACTGTTGCTACATGTTGTTTGTGGCATTATGTCTAATTTATTGCCATCACTGTTACCACATGTTGTTTGTGGCATTATGTCTGATTTTCTGCCATCGTTGTGACCATGTTTTGTTTGTGGCACAGTATTTAATTGTCTGGCATCACTGCTGTCATGTGTTTGTGGCACCCTGTCTGATTCTCTGACATCACAAGTTGTTTGTGGTGCAATGTCTGATTTATTGTCATCATTGTTGCCACATGTTGTTTGTGGCACCATGTCTGATTTTTTGTCATCATTGTTGCCACATGTTACCTGTGACACCATGTCTGATTTTTTGTCATCATTGTTGCCACATGTTACCTGTGACACCATGTCTGATTTTTTGTCATCATTGTTGCCACATGTTACCTGTGACACCATGTCTGATTTATTGTCGTCACTGTTGCCACATGTTTGTGGCACCATGTCTGATGTATTGCCATTACTATTGCCATATGTTGTTTGTGGCACCATGTCTGACTTATTGTCATAACTGTTGCCACATGTTTGTTTGCATTTGATTAAAATTTTCCCATCATTGCTGTCATGTATTGTCTTGGGTTCCATGCCTGATTTTTCATAATTATTTTTATCTTGTGTTGGTTTGGGTTCCGTGCTCGATTTTCTATGCTCATTTTCGTCTTGTGTTGGTTTGGGTTCCGTGCACAATTTTCTATGCTCATTTTTGTCTTGTGTTGATTTGGGTTCCGTGCCCGATTTTCTATGCTCATTTTCGTCTTGTGTTGGTTTGGGTTCCGTGCACAATTTTCTATGCTCATTTTCGTCTTGTGTTGGTTTGGGTCCCGTGCCTGACTTTCTACCATCACTGCCATCAAATGTTTTGAGCAATGTACCTGATTGTCTTGGAGGTAAATCTTTCTCACTTTGCGGCCTCTTAGTTACATCAAGGAATGTTCTATTTAACACACCTTTTACTCTCTCATCTGCCTTGGGATGTGTCACTAAAATTTTAGCTGATGGGGTTGTACTTAAGAAATCTTTGCAAACCAAGATGGCAGACTTCCATGGTTTAACATTTCCTAAGAAAAGCACCGTCTTAATGTAACTAGTGATAGCTTGGTTGATCTCGGAAAAAGATGGAGAATTTTTAGAGTTAGTGCAAAAACTCGCTAGAGTAAGATCTTTACGAATGGAATATGATATATATTGTACAGCATCTGTGATCCACTTTGTAAATTCATGACGTTTTTTGGTTTTCTTACATAAATTGGTCCTAGATGAAAACAATTCAGGGAACCGTTGACATTTTTCAATTTTAAATGTGCAGTTTTTACATTGAAGATTACCAAAGTAGAGGTGTTTATAGATTTCATTTTTTACTACTAAACGTTCACATGTGTAACAATAGATTTTTCTAGTTGTTTTATTTCTGATATTTTGGCACAGGCTTGTCTTAGTTTCATGGGGAGGTGTTGTGTTACCTTTATCCCCATCATTTTTCACCTGTACCGTAATCTTTGTTGAAGGTTTGGTAGACAATTTCGAAGCCAATGGAAACACTTTTGTATGACTTTGAGTTTCATTTAAACTACTCAAGTTACTATGACAAATATTGGTAGACACAGTTTGATTAACAGGTTTCTGAACAGATGGTTCATCTTTGTTTTGTGAGGGAGAACACTTAAAATATTTAATTTGCCTCAACTGTGAGGCCTTAGTTTTGGATGAACTTGTTGGGCCATCGCCTTGGCTATCCATTTTCTCAAGGATTCTGTGGATGCCTATAATTTGTTGAAAAGCTTTAGATTATTTTTAAAAAATTCCTTTATATGTGTGACCAGCATACATTATGAATTGCAGCATGTCTCAGAATCTTAATACTCAGATTATAAAATATAATATGGTACATTTACTTGTATTAAAAATATATTTTTGTGTACAATGTTATATTACCCAAGTCTGCGCTAAATTTGGAGCTTTGTACTTCAACCTTGGAATGTTCTTCCTTTTTCTTGACGGGTGATTTTGCTTCTCTTCTGTTATGCTTCCGGAACCACAGAGGGCACCAGACCCACCATAATGCACACTGTAAAGAAACCAAAAACTTTCAGTGTTCTTTCTGGGGTCAAGAAACCAATACTTTAATAAATTTAGTGTTCCAACTACTATAGTTAGAACACACTGTAGTTACTCTGTAGTTCATTAGATATAACATTCTATAAAAAACCTTGCTTCACTTACATGCCTTAAAATGTATGGTAAACCGTGGGAGTGGAAGGAATTATGCAGCCCAACTTGAAGAAAGTACTGTAGTACCTGAAAAGATATTATGTTTTTAAAATATGGGTATTAATTGAATTGAATTTGTATATGTAATGTTCTCTATACATGCAAGTCTGCCTTCCTACTAATGATACTCCTCCCTCTCTCCAGCTTCACTGATACAGTAATATTGCTCTTTGGCTTCATGACTAGACTTTCCCGGCCTTTTCTTCTCCTCTCTAAGCAATCTAGCTCCTATAAATTTCAAAGTTATATGGAAATCCAATTACAGTACCTCCTTCCTTTCCTAAATGTATATTGTTCACAGCTGTGTCCGATTCTCTTTCCCTGTCTATCATAACCTACGTACAGTGATAGGTACATCAATTTTTGTCCTATCATCTACCTGTTAAGAAAAGTGTTCTTGCCTCCCTTTTCCTCTGGGTCCTACACATCAGTGACTCGCAGTTTCTTGATTCTGAAATTTCTTTTCAAGTCTTTTGCCTTGGCTATTCCTTAAATTTTTGACTGTGCCTGTTCTCAATATAAAAACTTTCTTTCAACACTAGGAACAATGCGTCTCTTCTCTTATATCTGAACTAAAAAATCCAATACCCTCCATCCTCTTTTGACGTAAAACTCACTTTTCGACAAACCAACACACGTCCTAGTAATCTATTCCACACCGCCCCTCTTGCTTCCAGTGGTGCTGATTATTTTATTTCCTGTACCTCTTAGCCTTTCCAATACAGTACTGTACTTTGCCAAAACTAGCCATACTCTTAATGACAGACTGAAAAAAAAAGCCACAGAAGTGTTAAAGCCGCAGACACCAACAATGCTCTCTCTTCTTCTCATGTTATGAACTCATATCATCCTATTGATTGACCTTATCCTAAAATAATCTTTCCTGCCTCTGTTCTTCACAGACGCCGTCTTGTCGACTAGGCTCTCAAACACAACATCGAGACTCGTTGCTGTTGATGCTTGCCTTTCTCACTAGTACATAGTTAAATGCACATTAGGATCTCATTTTCTTTCTCTTAATTTCTATTTTTCACCTCTTTCTCTTCACCATTAGGTGTCTGCAATTTTATTTATGCATTTTAACCTCACCTTTCACCTCACATTCTTACCTTGTATTATGACTACTCACCTTCCCCAACATGCAACCCACAACACTTGCCTAACTCTCGGGTATCTATTTAATGCTAGATGAACAGAGGTATTGGGTGGAAGCAACCGTGCCCAACAACTGATGTCTTGCCTGGGGATCGAACCCAGGATCCCCGAGCGAGTCGAGAGGTAATGAATTTGGCGTAAAAATAAGTTTGATAGTCTTAATCGTTACCATTAATGGTGGAGGAAGGCAGGGTAGACTGTGGTGGGAGGGAGGCAGGGTAGTGAACTCATCACTGTGGAAGGAGATGAACCTAACAGTGAGTGAGGGAGGTCTGGGAAGCAGCGCCCTGGAGCGGTCCGTCTAAATTACCGCAAGATACCACAAGCTACACAAGCTTCCTGGCAAACCGTTAGTAATGAATAAATATGATATATTTACTCATTATAATGTTGGTGCTGAATGTACAACACAAAAAAAAACATTTTTATTCTGAAAAAGTATCTTTTTATAAAGACATTAGACGAAAATAGAGCTGGTGACGCCAAATCAAGTCGACGATAAAAGGGTCAGTTAGGTTAGGTTAGACTAGGTTAAGTTAGGTCAACCTAACCTATCATATTTATTCATTACTAACGTATTGCCAGGAAGCTTTGTAAAGCTTGTGGTAATTAGACGGACCGCCCTGGAGGAGTGCCTGGTCCCCCAGGGCCCCGGGCCGCCCCTACCTCCTGCCCTGGTGGCAGCAGTTTATGACCATATTGCCTGTGAGAGGACTTGGGATGATGGCCCACAGACGTGAGCGTAAATTTGAAAATGGTACAAAATAAAACACCCATTGTGCAACAACTGTGTTGACTGGTACGTACACCATATTTCACACTCCTCTCCCTCACAACGCTCTCATTGTCAGCTGTACACAGCACAAGGCACCGTAGAGCATCCTCTGGGGCTCAAGATCCACGAGGAATGGTCTAAATCTGAGACGGAAATGCGAGACTGAGCTCCCGTCTGGTGACTCGGTCAATTCGTACACACGGCGCCTTCCATAATGTAAACACACTTTTCGTACACAACCTCCCCCACCCTCCTCACAAGAGACACCATATATAATAATAATAAACATTATTAGTTATATTATTATTACTACTACTATATTATTATTATTTGGAATAATAATAATTTAATTTTCCAAATATACGTAATACAATGGCTACTTAGTAGGAACAGATATAGTAACTATATTTGTGTAAAGTACCAATATTTACGTGAATTTTCCTAAGGGTCACTAAATCCCTGTATATGTTTCTGATGATTTTTTGCTAGATGGATTTTAAAATTCAACAGCTTTGGCATTTACGGCTTCGGTGGATAGGCGGTTCCTTGGGTTAATAACCCTGTGGGTGAAAAAGCATGTCCTGTTCTCAGTCCTACACTGTGGCTTGTTGAGCTTGGAACCGTTGCTCCTTGTTTGTGTTACATCTGACCTTCTGAAGAAATTGTCTGGATCAACATCCTCCAAATTGTTTATTACATTTAGTTCGATGAGATCGGCATTGAACTTTCTCCAAAGCAGCTGTCTTTGTCAAGATGTAGCTTTAATGTATGACTACAATAATCCAAGTGGGGAATTACACAGTTGAGTAACTACTTTCTTTTCCTTAAAAAAAATTATTCCTCGGGTTTGGTTACCCTTTTTTTTTTTGCAGTTCCTACTTGTGCAACTTTCAGTAAGTGATGGATTCTGACTCTAAGGTATTTTTCTTGAATCTACCACAAGATATTGTTGTTAATTTGGTACATGTGACGTGAATTGTTATACCCCTACATGCACGATCTTACATTTATCGATATTAAAAAGCATTTGCCAGTTTTCTGACCATTGTGGAATTCATGTCGATCTCTTTGTAAGGCGTCAAAATAATTTTCCACGTCCCATTTTACCACAAATCTTAATGCAATCTGCAAATTTCATAATGAAGTTTGTAATATTCTCGTCTGTAATTGATGTGTATGGCAAAAAGAGTTGGTCCCAAAATAGACCCCTGTGGTACACCACTCATCACATTTCTCCAGTTGGATTCATTCCCGTTTAGCACGACCCTTTGTTTCATTTTCTTTGTTTTAACCATAGTTTTATCTATTCTAGTATTCTACAATATATCCCATGTGTTTGTAATGTCTTTGTAAGTCTTTCATGTGGTACCTTACGGGTCCGTCTAATTACCACAAGCTACACAAGCTTCACAAAGCTTCCTGGCAATACGTTAGTAATGAATAAATATGATAGGTTAGGCTGACCTAACCTAACTTAACCTAACCTAACCTAACCTAACCTAACCGACGCTTGGATCATCGACTTTATTTGGTGTCACCAGCTCTTTATTTTCGTCTAATTTCTTAATAAAAATATACTTTTTCAGATTAAAATTATGTTTTCTCGTGTTGTACATTCAGCACCAACATTATAATGAGTAAATATATCATATTTATTCATTACTAACATATTGCCAGGAAGTTTTGTGAAGCTTGTGTAGCTTGTGGTAATTAGACGGACCAGCTGCATGGTTAGTGTGTGTATTGTGTGACTGGAAAGTGGATATTTAAACACTTTTTCCCCACCCAATTAGTTAGTTTAGTTCATTTATTATACACCCCATGCCGATCTTGTGGGTGGTAGTAGAAAGGGTTACAATTAGTATGTTTGTGTATAGTAGGACTGGAAAGTGTGGACATTGGAAGGTAACAGAGGTGGTGATGCGCTCTGGCGGCGGGCGGGAGACTCACGCACCACAACAAAAGGACTGTCAGAATTCGGCTAAAAAATCACGCTCAGGAACACAAATTTCCAACATTTCAGATATTTTGAAAATTGTAGGGGGGTTTGGGCAAAAACACCCATCACCGTTTTCAGTAATTGGCATATTTTCGGTGTAAAAAGTCGTAATTTGAAAATGAAAATAGGTGCAGAGAGTCAGAATTCGGTTCAAAAATCACGCTCAGGAGTCAAATTTCCGACATTTCAGATATTTTGAAAACTGCAGGTGGGTTTGGGCAAAATATGACCCATCGCCGTTTTCAGTAATTGGCATATTTTCGGTGTGAAAAGTAGTAATTTGAAAATGAAAATAGGTGCAGAGAATCAGAATTCGGCTCAAAAATCACGCTCAGGAGTCAAATTTCGGATATTTCAGATATTGTGAAAACTGCAGGGCGGTTTGGGCAAAATATGACCCATCGCCGTTTTCAGTAACTGGCATATTTTCGGTATAAAAAGTCGTAATTTGAAAATGAAAATAGGTGCAGAGAGTCAGAATTCGGCTCAAAAATCACACTCAGAAGTCAAATTTCCGACATTTCAGATATTTTGAAAACCGCAGGGGGGTTTGGGCAAAATATTACCCATCGCCGTTTTCAGTAATTGGCATATTTTCGGTATAAAAAGTCGTAATTTGAAAATGAAAATAGATGCAGAGAGTCAGAATTCGGCTCAAAAACCACACTCAGGAGTCAAATTTAAGACATTTCAGATATTTTGAAAACTGCAGGGGAGTTTGGGCAAAATATGACGCATTGCCGTTTTCAGTAATTGGCATATTTTCTGTGTAAAAGGTCGCAATTTGAAAATGAAAATAGGTGCAGAGAGTCAGAATTCGGCTCAAAAATCACGCTCAGGAGTCAAATTTCCGACATTTCAGATATTTTGAAAACTGCAGGGGGGTTTGGGCAAAATATGACGCATCGCCGTTTTCAGTAATTGGCATATTTTCGGTGTAAAAATTCGTAATTTGAAAATGAAAATAGGTGCAGAGAGTCAGAATTCGGCTAAAAAATCACGCTCAGGAGTCAAATTTCGGACATTTCAGATATTGTGAAAACTGCAGGGGGGTTTTCGCAAAATATGACCCATCGCCGTTTTCAGTAATTAGCATATTTTCGGTGTAAAAGGTCGCAATTTGAAAATGAAAATAGGTGCAGAGAGTCAGAATTCGGCTCAAAAATCACTCTCAGGAGTCAAATTTCCGACATTTCAGATATTTTGAAAACCGCAGGGGGGTTTGGGCAAAATATGACCCATCGCCGTTGTCAGTTATTGGCATATTGTCGGTGTAAAAAGTAGTAATTTGAAAATGAAAATAGGTACAGAGAGTCAGAATTCGGCTCAAAAATCACGCTCAGGAGTCAAATTTCGGACATTTCAGATATTTTGAAAACTGCAGGGGGGTATGGGCAAAATATGACGCACCGCCGTTTTCAGTAATTGGCATTTTTTTCGGTGTAAAAAGTCGTAATTTGAAAATGAAAATAGGTGCAGAGAGTCAAATCAGGATTGCCAGATTGGGCTACAAGTAGCGAATTGGGCTACTTTTGAGAGCCCCACGCTCCCAAATTTTTAATTTCGCTATTTGCGACTTTTTAGGCTAGTTTAAACGCAAGTAGGGCTACTTTGGGCTATTAATATTAAGAAACTCAATGATGATTATTTATGCTCTAATAATATAATCTGTATAAATCACAGCCGAGTCCAACAGCCTGATTGACTAGACCACTTACCGCAGGAGAGCCCTGGTCAGAGACCGGCCCCTGGGGACGTTGATCCTAGGAACCTTTGAAAGAAAAAGTAACCGCAAGGCAAGGTAATCCTCCCCAGGGGCCATAGATTTCCTAACTTTAATTGTTAATAATACTTCATCCCAAAAGCTACACCTGGTTCCACAGATCTTATTTAAGGGGAGAAAGTTATCTAGCAATGTACAGATTGGTAAATGATGGGAAAGTTCCCTTACAGTTAATACCTTTGTCAGGAAGACGATGGTTGGCAAGGAGCGGTAGTGTAAAGCGGCCGTTTGATCAGTGGGGTTCTCTAACAACTCATTACCAAATAGCTTTTTCCTCTTGTGATAAATATGTTGCAAGGCAACTATTTTCAATGTACGCTGATCCCTCCAATAAGCTATATTTCACATGTCTCAAACCAATCCTAAATGATTTTGAAAGGATGAATTTACTTTATCAAAAGATGAAGCAGATCAGAATAGCCTTCACACTGTCTTAGAAAACTTCACTCTTGGAATACTCAGAAGAATCTTTCGTCCTCATCATGCAAAGCTTCATGTTAATTTGAACTACAATTCTATATACCTGCCCCTGGAGAAAGTTGACTTTGGTTACGAATTTTCAACACTTCCTGCCACTAACAGACAAAACAATTTTACAACCCAGGAAAAGTTTCAAAATGTTCAAGAAAGTTGCGATAATTTTTTAATGAAAGCTTGCAAATAGCTTCTTTCTCGTATTCTAAGTAATGTTGAAACTATAAAAAAGGTAAAAAATCTGTTACCTATCATATGCCTTAGCTTACATGGCCACCATTTTCGGAACTTCCGTTAGTATTAGCTGACCAATCTAAGCTTAGTGAAATTGAAAGTCAGTGGCGCCTACTGTTAACCGTTGACTAGTCCAACATTTGTAAGGGACAAATTCCGACATCTGAATCGTCATTTTAGACCAAGACAATAACTGTCAAGAACACTGCTGGCGATCCCATACTGATTGACCTCGCTGAGTTTGTGTTGAAAATATACAGCTTGCCAATCAGTAATGCCCTGGTTGAACGGATATTTTCGAGAGTAACGTCTGTGTAAACTAAACTGAGAAATCTTGAATGGGAATGGGACTTGAGCTTTTGACATCAGTCTTGAGAATCAAAACATATCTTTTGATGAAAATGTAACTTGTTGCTCGTCATTTGAACCACTCATGTCAATGCTTAAATATGAGTCTGCAATATACAAGAACGAGGTTGTGGATGCAGATCAAGATCTTGGTAATCTTCAACTGTAAAGACGTGGAAGGACTTCACACCCATTAAGCTTCAAAGAGTAAATATTGGTAAGTTATCCTATTATCATATTGGTTAAATATATATATGCAGAGATAATGTTAATAAAACAATTAAAATCGTTTAATGTACTCTATATATTTATTTATTTTATTTATTTATTTATGCATATACAAGAAGGTACATTGGGAATGTGAGGATACATAAAATGGTAATTACAGTCTTGTAAAGCCACTAGTACGCGCAGCGTTTCGGGCAGGTCCTTAATCTAAGAAAATTTTAAGTAGGTAAATACTTGCAAAATTTATACACAAAAAAATGATAACAGTTACATGGAATGAAAAAAAGATGAGAGAAAATTGTAGGTACAGTATATTAAAGCACACAGGTAGCTAAGATTGATTGCAATGATAGCTTGAATGGTACTTGACAAAAATTGGTAGGCACAATACAGCAGCATATATCATAATAGATTACTTTGAAACCCGTATCAGTCACTAAACAAAAAATTGGGCTACTCTTATTACAAATTCGCTAGTTTTAGACCATCAGCTCGCTACTTTTAGCAATTTGACTCTGGCAACCCTGACACGAGGGGTCGTGGTGGAGGCGCTGGTAATGTGGCAACATATTTTCTCTGACTTTTCTCGTTCTCACTCGCTCCTCTGGGTGTAATACTTTGTTATTACATTACAGGTGGGTAACGGCTGCTTTGGTCATCTAATCGCCGCATTTTGCTATTGTTTTGCAGGTTATTTGTTAATTATTATAAGGTAGTTTGCTGGTTCTTGCTGGGTGTTTACATTTGTGCATGAGATATGTTTACCTGAGGGACACTTTAACACTAGTGGCCTCGGTGAGAACGGGAAGCCGGCGGTTTGTCCCGTCCCCTGATTTGTTCTGATGATAATTTCAAGCTGTACATTTAAAATTAAGAGAGTTTTGGCATTTACGGCTGGGCGGGTAGGCGGTTCCGTGGGTTAATAACTCTGTGGGTGAAAAAGGCTCTCCTGTTCTTCAGTCCTACACTGTGGCTTGTTGAGCTTGGAACCGTTGCTCCTTGTTTGTGTTACATCTGACCTTCTGAAGAAGTTGTCCAGATCAACATCCTGCAAATTGTTAGTTATTTTAAAAATTTGACAAGACCCGCCCTGTCATGCTGCAGTGTTGTTAGCCCTGTGGCCCTCAACCATTCCTGGCACGAGAGTGATATAGTTCAGGAATGACTCTAGTTGCCTGGTGTTGACCTTTCTCCAAAGCAGCTATGTCTTTCTGAAGATTAAGGTCTCCATTCTAAATGTAATAATTCAAGAAGGGGTGCACCAGAGATTTATGCAACTGAATAACTACCTTCTTTACCTTAGTCAAAGGTATGCTTTATTATTCCAAGGCTTTGGTTAGTTTTTTTTTGGTTTAGCTTTCAGTGAAAGATTGATTTTGACTATCTTTTTCTTCATTAATCTGCTGCAAGATAATGCTGTTAATGTGAGAGTTGTGATGAGTATTATGCCCCACATGCAAGTTCGTGTATTTATCGATATTAAAAAGCATTTGCCAGTATTCTGACTATTTGTGGAGTTCATGTAGATCTCTTTTGTAAGGCTTCGATATCTTTTTCACTTCCCATTTTATATGTATATGATGTATATGACAAAAAGGGTTGACTTCAAAATGGATCCTTGCGGTACCCCACTCTCCCTATTTCTCCACTCAAATTCCTTCCCATTTATCATGACCCTTTGTTTTCTTTGTTTTACCCATTGTTTTATCCATTCGAGTATTCTACCATTTATTGCATGTGCCTGTAGATTGCTTGCTAATCTGTCATGTGGTACCATGTTCCCAAGAATGCGAGCAGGTTTGTAAGGCAGGATCTCTTTTTAACAAACCCATTTGTTAATTTTACAAGATTGTTCTCTGAGATGGTGAATGATTTCCTCGCTTAGGATTCTCTTCATAAGCTTGCAAATGAATAAAACAGCATTTTATTTATATTATAAAACTGAAAAATATATGCAGAAAGTAAATGGAACACACACTTTCATTGGGTATGAAAGTTTGAAATAAGGATAATCCTTTATTTCCTCGGCTGAATATGAGGTTCAAATTCATTGGTTATTTTTGTTAGAAAGTTTTACATATCGGAACTGGAAGCCAAATCACTAGATTCAATAGAGCTGTAGCTCAAATAATATAACCAGTGTATGTTTATAGATTACAAGAGAAACTTTTATATCAGTGTAGGGCTAGGTAATTTTGATAGTGATAATTTATAATAATTAATTTGTATATTTACCTACTTTATTTATATACAAGAAGGTATATTATGTTTGTGAGAGTACATAACATTGGTGTTCTTGCATTCTTGCAAAGCCACTAATACACATAGCATTTCAGGCAGGTACTTAACATAACAGATAAAGTCAGAATATTATAGGTACATTGTAGCTAAATTTTATTTTATAATTTACTGTATATACAAATTACATGTACTGTAAATACAATTTTTTACTTTATAGGATTTTATTATTTGGCTTTTAAATTTTGAATTTGTAATTCTTGTATTGTCTAATTTCTACTCATTTTTGTTATGGTAGTCTAAGAGGCATAAGTTTCTTTATTGTTCCAAATTTCATCCATCTAGAAATTTCTATGCTTATTTCAAGCGTCATTTTATGATAATTTTCCATAAATGTTTTGTTATATATCAAAATTAAGCTTATTTTTATTTCGATTCTCATAGATAGTTGAGGCCAGCAGATAATGGATAAAGCATCATGTAGGCAGCATGAAAGGAGAAGGAAGGTAGCTGAAAAAAAAGATACTAAGGGAAAGGTAATTATTTAGTAACAAGAATATTTTGTCATTAAGTACGACCAGTAGTACATGAGGTATCAGCCAGCTCGCAACTGATTGGGCCAGAGTTTGATTCCCTGGTAGGGCATTGGGCACGTTTTATTTCACCTGCTTCTGTTCACCTAGCAGTAAATAGGTACCGGGAAGTAAGGTATCTATTGTGGGTTGCTTTCTGTGAAATATCAGACAGGTTGGACCTTGGGGGACCTTGATGAGCTAATGGAAAACCATATACGGTATTCCATTCGACTCTAGGAGAGTCGAACCATGGACCCCCCACATGTTTGAGGCCCAAGCTATGTCGACCAATAGATGCTTGGAAACCACTTGTTTGTAGCTATAAATTTCATTGCTGTTTTGATTCCTTGTGTTGATCTGAGGTGCTCACTGTGGCATGTATTGCATTCTTCTGGCTGCTTATAAAATTAAAGTGCATTATCAATCTGATTGCTCACTTCAGTATTTCAATCATCTAACTGGAGATTCAGTTGGTTAATATCTGTGTATCATACTACCAGTTACATTACTTCAGCACTACCTTCAGTGATATCAATTGTTAATTTAAATAAAGGTTATGCCAAATTTGATAGTGCTTACATTATTCATCCAATTTAAAATTAAGGCATACTGTAGAATATCCTCTACTTTTCAGGTACTGTATTAGTATTATATACTGTACAGTAATTGCATTCATAAAATAGGCACAGAAATATATTACAATGGTTTATGTGTAGGCACAAAGTTTGGACATTCAGTAAAGCCACTAATGTACAAAGCATTTTGGTGTAATTACCTAAGTTTAGATGAAGGATGAGAGCTATGCTCATGGTATCCCATCTTCCAAGCACACTGTTGTGTACAGTAATGTCTTGAAGTGTGATTTAGTGTTTGATCTGTCATGTTTTCTCAACGTTTCCATTCAATCTTTGATAGAATAAGATTGCATACTGTTTCTTTAATATATAATATATTTTATTTATAACAATTGCAAAGGACCCAATTACAGTAATTTCATAATACAGTAGTACACTTATTTGTATTTTTTATGAAGCCACTAATCATGGGTAGTGTTTTTAGGCATATCTTAAGATTACTATAAGGGTTTTAATGAGTATTTTTTTTGGGGGGGATAAGAAAATATGTAAGATATTCATCTAATATGCAGAATGGATTCCCAGAGTTTGTCTTAATGTATAATTTAGACATTTTCTGTTATTAAAAATCCTCTTGTTTCACACATGCATCACACAGACTTCAAAAGCTAAACTCTTAAAAATTTTCTTCCATTAACAAATACACAATGTGATTTATGCAATTTTATTATTTATAATTCTTTCAGCCTAAACGAAGCAACAAGAATGAAGGGAACGTTATGCGAAAAGAAGTGCAGAGGTACAAAGACAAAGAAAAGGTAACGTTAATTCTTCAAATTATTTTACACGTTCAAATATATCTTTCTTATGTCCAGAATACCATCTTAGAATATTTTAAGAACATTCATTGCTGAATCTGGCTTGGTGTCTTTTGAGAATTATTTACAAATTACTTAAATTACTTAAACTTAATTACTTAAAAACTTTCAAAAGTTTTAAATTAAAAATAAGTGTGAATACATAGATAAGGAAGAGAGTGGGAAGTAAAACTACTTTTCATGCATATATTAAATGCGTCGGTTCTTCTTTTTTTTTTTTTTTTTTTTTTTTTTTTTTTTTTTAGAACTACCCCATCAGATAACTCTGTGCTTGCCAGTTTAAAAATTAACTCTTTAAGCCTTAAGATATTCATATTCATTATTCACTCCATTGGAATTTATCCTGGATGAAGCAAAGAACAATATTTAGGATTGAGACAGAATCCTTCAATGACGGTACAGGTATCTTGTATATATAGATACAGTACCTGTAATCTGATTGTATAGATTGTTAGTACACAAGTACTTGGGTTTGATCATTGTACTGTATTTCACACTGCAGCAGCCTGTTAATTACAAATGCTGGTAATCAAATTAAATATGATGACTTCATAATTCTTTTTGAAACTATCTTGAGCAATTGTAATTGTTCTCCAGGCCTGTATAATATTGTGCTATATCCTACAAACGGCTGGGACTGAAAGTGACATGCTGTACCCTGATTTTTTTTTTTTTTTTTTTTTTTTTTTTTTTTTTTTTTTTTTTTTTTTTTTTTTTTTTTTTTTTTTTTTTTTTTTACTAAAATCTGTTTTTATATTTCTTGTATATTGAAAATTGGGGGATTTAGTGATCCGTTTCTTTTCCTTTTTGGTTTTATCTGATAGTGAGCTTCTCTTGCTCTTACACTTCCCTGGCTTCTCACTCTTATATAAATTTCTCGAAACTCCTTCATGTCGGATCTTTTTTATATTTTTTTGCCAATTATTATTGCTGTTTATTGTTCATTACCTTCTTGATCTTTTTTCTTCCTTTCCAGTTAAATTCTTTGTTTCTCCATTCTTAACACTTTTGCTTCTGAAGATGCAAAAATGTCTTCCGTACTCCGACAGTAAACGTTCCGATGATGCTAAAACTCGTTGTCCGGTTGCTATAAGCATTCATATACTGGTATTCATTGCTATCATACATCACCTACTATGAATGTACTTTTATTTTTGCATCTAATTCTAGAGAATTCATTTGCGAATAATTTGACAGTAAATTTATTGGTATAACCTAAGGAATAACCTTGAAACCGTAAAATGATTGTAAACATTTAAAGTACAGTACTGTATTGCTGAGCGGGACCCGCCAAGCCTGCTATGTTTACAGTCGGGAACATGCGGAAAGGAGCATAATCCATTATAAATACACTTTTGCATCTATTCTCTAGAGCATTTTGTGAGCACCACTTGCGAGCATTTTGACACCAAATTTTTAGCTATAACCCAACAAATAACTTTGAAAACGTAGAATGATTGTAAACATTTCTCGCATCGCTGAGTGACCCGTGAGTGGCCCTGGTAGCCCAGAATGTTTACTGTTGGGAATACGCTAAGAGGCACGACCATCAAAGTGGTGAGCACAGTAGGTCATATTTTAATTTTTTTTAATTTTAAGAATTTTTAGAATTCATTTAAAATAAGATTCTGCAAATATGGTTAAAATTATATAACATTGTAAATTAAGTTTTAATGTTATTTTATTATTTTAATAATAATAGAAGATGGGAAATTGATTATACTTTATTGAAGTATTCATTAATTAACCAAATATCTTTGTTTGTATCAGAGTCTGCAGCATGAGGAGGGTTCCACCGTCTCAAACAGGAGGATGACTGTAAGTTTTATGATCTTAATTATTAAGATGTTTGAGGTTATGTGCTTGTATATTTTTTTTTCATATAATTTGTGCATATAGAGCATACGAAATACTACATAGGAAGAAGCAATCATGTGAGAACAATTTGTTATAGAGACTATGAATTCTCTACAGCATTGCATAAGAGTGGAAAGGCTGATCATGATCTTCTTGAGCTCATCTTGAGATGATTTTGGGGCTTAGCGTCGCCGCAGCCCAGTCCTCGACCAGGTCTCCTGTTTGTTACACACTCTTGGGAAGCAGCCCGTAGCAGCTGTCTAATTCCCAGGCATCTATTTACTGCTAGGTAACAGGGGCATCAGGGAGAAAGAAACTTTTTGCCCATTTGTCTTTTGTTAATCCACTAGTGTTGGGTGACACTCCACCTAGTATCATTCCTTATTTCCTCACACTAGCCACAGGCCACCAGGGTACTCTTCCAGGTGCACTAATGAGATAATATTCAGTTTTAGCATCTGTTTTGTGGACTCTTCGATAAATGTAGATAAAGTGTTTATGAGTAAAAGATGTTTTGTATGATAATTGTAAATTTAGTAAGGGATTTAATTTAATAATCTTTAATTTTCCAAAACTGCAAATTGTTTTCCTTAATTACTAGTTTTAAGTAACTTGTGTAAAATATACAATAATTCAATTTGTTAACTAATTACTTTGACAAGTTCTAAGTTTATACTGTACTTTGATCATTAATTTTAATATTTAAATTAAAGAGATTGATTGTATATTCCCCCCCCCCCAAGGTCAAACTACTGACCCTCCCCAGGATGCAACCCTGCAACAGGCTGACTAACTCTTTGGTACCTATTTACTGCTAGGTGAACAAGTGCATTAGGCGATAGGAAACAAGCGACCACTTCTGTCCCTCCCGGAATTCGAACCCATAATTCCCAATTGCCAGTCGAGGATGAACCTGACTGTACTTCCGAGGCCCTTGAACGTTCTATTAAACATTATAATTGTTACAACATTTCTTATTTCTTGTAAATAGATAAATACAGTAATTGAATATAAATATTGTGGATATTTAGTTTTCTGATCATTGCAAACTTACTTTTATTTGTATAATGATTATTATAATACAATGGAATAAAAATGAAACTTGTGAAAAGTGTAACAGTATAGTATAACAATATAATATCATTCCAGATTCATCAGGGGATCTATGCACATGGCTGCAGCTCAGGAGCTGTACACAGAGGTAAATTATTTCTTTATGCTATTTAATATTTAATACAATAATTCGACCCTGTGGAGACCTCAATATAAGTCTAACATGTACTGTATGCATAAACTGGCTGCCTGTCCCCCTGACAATGAATTATTATTAATTATTATATAGTTCATACCACAGAGTTTGAAATATACCAGAAAACATTAAAAGACAAAATTTGGGACGTTACATATACTGTACTATATTTACAGGCTTCCCAGCATTAAATGTCCATTGAGACCATAGCTATCACATAAATTTAGAATATTTGAATGTAATTCATGTCAATTCTGTACAGATTTTCTAATACATATCTAAAATATATTCCAGAAATTGGTTTAAGTAAAGAGACAAAAGCTCGTGCAGAAGCTAACCTATCGCACATTCTTGCATTGGCCAGCAATGCCACATTAGAGAAACACGTCAGCAAACCCTCCGTGAGCACACGTTCTCCACGCCGCTCCTTCTTGACAAAAAAAGCTTCAAGTCATACTCCAAAACATACCAGTAAGATTTTTGTTAACTTTTTCTTGCACTCTGTTGGGATACTCTGTTGTGGTGTGTAGTCATTTACTACTGTATACTGTATCTTTGATTGGCTGATATTCATTCATATTTTATGCTGCTACTGTCTACAATTGGAGAATTAAGACCACAGTTTGCTACAAAATTGGATTATGGGCAAAAATAAAAAGATAAACATAATATTGCCAGCAAACATTGCAGCATTGGAACCTCAAAAAAGCCTAAGTGTAGTTTGTTTTGGACCTACTTATAGACTTTCAAAATATATTTGATCTGTGTTATTTTGCTAAATTTATCTGATTTACTTGAGGCCCACTATATCTCTAGCGGCCTCAATGAGGACAGGAAGCCAGTGACTTGTCAAAGGTCCTCCATTTGTCCTGATAATTTTATTAATTTGGATCTTAAATTACTGTATAGCGAGGTTTTGGCATTTACGGCTTTGGTGGTAGGTGGGGCAAATGAGCTTAAACTTGTTTCATGAACTTTGCCATTTTTTACATTGCTGGGGGAGTTCTTTTAGCAATATTGAGGCAATCTTCCTTCTAACCAGCAGCAGTCTGTTCTGTTTCGCTGGCTGTCTGGGTGCTTTCCTGTTGGTGATGGCTGTGATTAAGCTTCACATACAATTTTACCATAGTATCACTGCTGTCTGCATCTCTTTTTAAAGGGGGTCCAGGTTCTGGCTCGTGGTTCCTGGTAGGATTAAACAAAACTCCATGACTGATGGCACCTTTTGGTTTGGCACTACAGTATATTAACATTGTAGCTTCAGGAAACCACTGGGGCTCGCCCAGAAATAGGTTTTCCATTACATTCAGTGCTTTTTTTTTTTATCATCATTAAGCTTAAGAATTACAGTATTCTTGACTTCTATATATCAGTCTTTATTTACTTCTTGTAATGGTATAACATTTTCTTTTTTCCTAGTTCCATCTGAGAAAAGAAAAGAAGAGGAACATGGTACCTTGAGACTATCATCTTCAGAATCTGATGATATAGATAACATCATTATTTCTCAGTCAAAGGTAAATATTTTAAAAGCTCATAAGTTGCTTGATGCAGCATAATTTGGTGATCTGTGGTGGGATTTAGATTTTGAGCTGTGTATTCTGAAATTCTTTTGATACTTGAAATTCATATTGAGATTACAGCCAGGCCCATAAAAGGTCAAGAAAGGTCCAATAGAGTATATTAAACAAGGGAGAAGGATCAGAGAATTCCTGCATACTAGTTGCTTTATCGAGTATGCATTTTACGTAACACCTATTTAACTACTGTACAATTTTTTTTTTTTAATAAAAATATTTTATTAATGCATTTCTTGCTTTTTTTGCAGAGACACGAGATTGATAAGGAATGTTATAAAAGTGCGGACTCTACTAATGTGACATCCCCTACTGTGCTACCGCAAGAACAGAAGACAAAAGTAACGTACCATCTAAGAAGTAAAAAATGCAAAATAGGTACTTGTCATTATAAAAATAAGACGATGAATATGAAAGGCAACTTTCTTAGCAGGCTGAAAGTACAATCCCGCAATGTTCACGGTCAGGTTAAATAAATAAATAAATAAAATAGTTTATTCAGGTAAAAGTACATGCATACAAAATGAGTTACAAACATAATGTTGTTTTTCTAGGTAGAGCTAGTATGTACTATTCCTAAAGCCACTAATATGCACAGCATTTCAGGCGGGTTCAAAAGTAGATTTCCAAAAATACGGTGCAGTATATGAATTCCCATTGTTGGGGGTGCAAAATTTGATTATTTTGATCTGCAAATTTGATGTGCTTTGTAATATTCTCAAGATAAGGGATAGGAAGCCTATACTTTGGCCTATTTAGGTCCCCACCCCACCAAGCCAACACTGTACTGACCTTCCCCAGGATGCAACCCACAATAAGTGCCAAACTCCCAGGTTACTATTTAACTGCTAGGTGGACAGAGGCATCAAGTAAAAGGAAATACTGTATGCCTAACTATTTCTGTCTTGCCAGGGGTCTGTCGCTCGATTGCGAGTCGAGAACATTGAGCACTGTGCTATAGGACCCGTGTATGAAGACTGGCACCAGAGAGTGCTTTTAAAATGTTACTGGGAGGTTATAAAGGTGCTTGGAAATCACTGGAAATTACCCATTCCAGCTCAGATGACTGACAAAAGCCTATATATAAGACTTGAAGCTCGGATTCTGCTTTTAGTAACCCCCTGAACACATTGCAGATCAATGGTCCTGCAAATTTGTGTGATCTGCAAATTTGATGTGCTTTGTAATATTCTTATCTATGTGCAGACGATGAGTCACAATAACGTAGCTGAAGATACGAAGACTAAAACCACACACAAGAAGACGAGGAGACGACGACGTTTCGTCGTGTGCTCGCGACTTCCTCGCTCCCATCACAAAATCAACTTGATAATGGTCCTCGTCTTCTGGTCGTCGTCGTCTCCTCATCTTCTGGTGTGTGGTTTAGTCTTTTTGTGTCATTGATGTTCGTGACAAAACCTAATATAGAAGCTTAAAAAGGTTGGCCCTAATATAGAGGCTTGTAAATATAGAACCAAAGTAAGAGACCTGTGCACAGCTGGATACCCATGCTAGTATAATAGATACAGTAATATAATTTCTTTGGCTTATTCACCAATTGATTTATTCATATTTGTATTTTGATTTAGCCACTGAAACCATTGTAAAACATTGAAACAATAAATTTAAAGTTAGTTTATGTATAAATTGTGGCATATATTTTCAGATGTCCAGAATAAGAAGCCGTTGGATAAGCCAGAAACTAAAGAGAGAGAATCTGCTCCAGAAATTGAGGTAGGCTTCATAACATTGAGGGGTCCCAGTAGTATAGTAGAGTTTGTTCTCGACTCACAATCGAGAAATCCAGGTTTGAATCCTGGGGCGATGGAATGTGTGTATACATGTACTGTATCTAATAACAAGAGCATGTATGAGGTTGTGTACCTAACACCCTGCTGGAAAATGGAGAAATATGTTCAGTATTAATTTGTAATGATATGACAGGTTTGGGCAATAAACATACAATATGGTAACTAGATGTATATATGATGTAAATGGTTACAGCAGTGGATGTTGTATGATACAACTACATCGTGACAATGGGATCCCTAAGGTATGGTTCCGTCCCGGTGACGGCAGAGGCTGGTCAGGGTTGGTGGGACCGAGGCTGGTAAGAAATGGTGACACTGTTGTCTGCAATGTTACAGGTATAAGAATACCAGTTGAGGTAGATCAGAGGTGGTGGCGTTTCTTCTGGCCGAGCTGTATTGAGACTGCCTAGATGCTGTGGTCAGATGGCCTTGTATCCCTGTCCACCTGACTCGGTTTAGAGCAAGGCTGCTTGTTAATTGGTTAAGGGAAACTACTTGATGTCATCTGTAGCCTGTGGAATTCTCGAGAAATGTGTAGATGTCATTTGTAGCACATTTGAATTCCAGGAACGTTTATGCAGCTGTTATGTTATTTCTAATGTACAGTACTTTCTACACATTAAAGATAAAGATAGATATAGCACTGTATATACAGTAGTCAATGTTGATTTTTTTTTTTTTCTATTATGTACTTGATAAAGTGGATAATTTATAACATGATTTAATATTTAAGTGAACACTGGAATATACATGTGAATATTTAAGATTTAAAATATATTTTAAAATGGTTCCTTTTTCATTTACAGATTATTCTCTTAAATTTTGCAAGATGACTGACATATTTTTTGTTTCTTAAAATAATAGAATATATTTGTTTGCAGAGGAGCCTGTTCAAACTGTTAACAACTGCTGTAAAGATCAGTCTTGAGAAAAAATCTAAATGTTTGTCTGGAAGCAGAGGTAATTAACACGTTAATTTTGTTGCATTTAAGATAAAGATTACATTAATATACTGCAAATATTTAGTCCCATTTATGTAGTGACTTGTTTATATATTTTGAATCATGCTTTGAGTGAATACAAAAGACTTGTATAAGGTTTTGGCTTGCTGTCTGCATCATCATTATGGGAGATAGTAGGTGAATTGTGTAGTGTTTGCTTTGAGTATTTGTTTATTTTTGTGAATGTATAGTTTTATTTCCTTCACTTTGCTTAAAATGATTTTATGATTTTCTTTCTTTCAGATTTGTACCTGGAAGCCCTCCATAAAGCTCATCGAAAATATGAAGAATGGTTTGTAAATTTAAATTACTCTTTTAATAAACCAACTTTCTTCTCAAACATTTACTGAGCATACGATTTATATACGTAATGTGGACTATATTGGTCGTTACCTTTCCTAGTGTTTCAATTTATATATCTTAATATTGTATAGTATGTTTTCCTATCTAGAATGTGTACTATTTGATCATTCTGGAAACTTTACATTCTTGAATCGAGTGTCTTGTAAAATTGTCTGCAGTCATTACAAAAGTTCATCATAGGGAAGAGTTTTTGAAGAGTGTCTGATATGTTTGCTAAAAATTTACAGATATTAATTATTATTTGCCTGTCAAATATATAAGTAAAACAGGTGGCACTAGTTTGGTTTAATAATTAAAATATGTGGGAATAATGAGCAGTGTTTTAATGATCACATGAGGTAGAACAGTAGAAGGGGAGAAATATGATATAAAAATACAAGCAAGAAAAAGAATAGATAAGCTGGGACCTATCGGTTGTGACCCGACAAAGCTAATTGTACCGTTCTCTCCAAATAACCTACAGTATATTCTACTGCTTTCTCTTCCAACCCCTACTCTTGCTCTCCATGTTCTTCAATAATTAAGAAGGTGGAATCTCTCTCTAATGGAAATATTCCTTTGGGTCTGATTCCCTTACATCCAGACTTCCGTTTCATTCCATCTTGGCTATTTTACTTCCCACAATTATTATATTTATATTAGTGCAGTCCTATAAATTTTTAATATTGTTTATTTGTGCTAGTGATAATAAAATTGCCTGAAAAAATACATTTTTAATGTAAATAGTGTCAATTATATTCAGGCTTTTAAAATCGGAATTTACTGTACTCGAATTTTGCCATTAATATATATTACTTGTAATCTTTTGATAGTTCTGTTTCAGGAAAATTAATTTTAATAACATACAAACTATTATTGTTTTTATTTTGTTTTGTAGCAATAGCCCTGAGAATAGGATTTCACCTGCAAGCAGTGATGCACTGCCTCTTGTGCATATAATGAAGACCAGTGGTAGTGTGAACAAGGCACTGCGACAATCAGGTGAGATATGTACATTTAAATACAGTATAACAAATACAGCCTATTCCATCAATTTGTTACATCATAAAAAATGCAATGGTTTTTCCTTATAACCCAAGGAATCCATCAAATATAATGCGTGTGGGTTCCCATATTACTGAGCCAGAAACTGAGAGGTTCTGGCTCTGGTTTCCAATAGGCCAACAGGACTCTTATGACTGATATGACTCAATAATGGGAAGTTTCAGGGTGCCAGTAGAGCTCGACGAGAAAGAGGCATTTTATTACATTCGGTGGTGGTTGTTTTGATAAATGTGGCAATAATGGCTATGAACTTCAGTTAGAAATTACACACAGAAATCACAATAGCGTGATGCATCAAATGAACAAATCCACAAGTGCCGTGACGAGGGTTCGAACCTACATTTGAGAGGATCCCAGATGCTGCCTTAATCGACTGAGCTACGACATGGTCAAAAGAATTGCAACCAGAAGTTCTACTGAACTTACTTGGATCCTGCAGCCTCTCCGAGACACAAACCACAACCAGAAGTTCAGTAGAACTTCTGGTTGCAATTCTTTTGACCATGTCGTAGCTCATTCGATTAAGGCAGCGTCTGGGATCTCTATGATGTTGGTTCAAACCCTTGGCATGGCCATGTGGATTTGTTCAGTTAGAAATATTATATATATCGGTTGATTTGCATCACATAGCACTTATGAAATTGCATTTTGTTTGCCATTGTCAGGGACATGCAGTTGGTTAGGCTTATCAAGATCTCTAGACCAATTACTGACCTTGCCCAGGATGCAGCTCACAACATTTGTCCAACTCCCATGTACATATTTGTTGCTAGGTGAACAGTGGCATTAGATGAAAGGAATTTTATGTGCTTATCTTTTATCTTTTTCTAGGTGATGGAAATGAAAAGAGAGGTCAAGTATTGGATTTAATGAAAACGCCTTCAACTTCGGAATACTTGAAAAGGAACAAAGAAATAGAACTAGTAAGCCATCATGAAGGTGAAGTGACTGAACAGGAGTCGGCCTTAAATATTACGGTGTGTCCTGGCACGACCATTATTAGTCCACGGGCTCTCTTGAGGCGGTACGAGGAGAAGTTGCAAAGAAGATCGCCAAAACAATTATGTGGAAGGATAGACTTGGCTGACATTAGTAATCAAAATGAAAGTTTACACTGTTTAAAATGTACTTCCAATAACAGTGTTAGTGATATTAAATCAAAGTCTGAAGGTGTGGTTCTTGAAAGTAATAAATTAAATTTATTAGCTGCTAGGGGAAAGGACACATCAGAAAACAAAATGCTATCCTTGTCAAAAGTGAAGAAATCAGGTTATACGAAGAAATCAAAAATTGAAACGCCCCGTTCTAAATTGGTATGCGACTCGGAGTGCCCAACAACAGTTGTAGTGAATGCCCTGCATTATTTAAAAAGGTGTGAGCAACAGTCTAAGGACCAAGAGAAGAAAGATACTAGTACAAATATTAATAAAATCGGCACCTTACATTGTGGATTTACTAAAGACGGCATTCCACAGAATACTAATAACACTGGTCTTCAAATAGTAACTCTACCACATCTTGACACCATATTTGACCATACCAGGGCAAGTAAGGCAGACTGTGTTCATAATAAAAATCATTCTCTTAAACTGCAAGACTATGGAGAAAGCCTGTTTCCCCAGTGTGATGGGAGAAATGTTAAAGAAAATGGAAACAAAGCCACTTATCCTATTAGAAGAACAGGACCAGTGATTTTAGATGAACAGCCTAACTCCCCTGTCATCAGTTGGAAAAGTGCTGGGAGAAAGATGGATGAAAGGGTTACAGAGGTTCCCTTTTCATCTCTTTCTAATTTGACATATGGCTTATCGAGAAGTCCTTCACTTTCGTCATGTGTAGCAACTAGCTCCAATGCACCAATTTTTTCCTTAGACTACCAGTCTTTTCCTCCAGCCTGTCACTCTGTTCCTCAAGATCAGTCTTGTAACAAAAAGATTCAGTTAGATATTAGACCAGAGCAAGTATTTGCTCCTGCAGTGAATGCATATAATCAGCCCAGTGACAAGTTGAAGCCACATAGTCACTTGGATACAAAATGTTGTAATTTCCATACGGGAAATACGTTATTAAAAAAACCAATGAATTCACATTCGATACAAAATATTCAACCAAATATTTCTTCTAAAGACAGGATCTTTCCAGCGAGCTCCTTAGATACTAGAGAGCCGTCGTGGCATTCAGCATTCCAAGATCCTCTGTGTCCTTCCAGTCCAACTTCCTTCAGAAACCATTCCACAAGTGGATCATTACAGAGATCTATAGCATGTAGTGATACATGTTGCTCTGCCTCGGTACACAAAAGTGGCCATGTCACTAATCAAAACTCACGGGGTTTCTTAATATCACTGGATGAGAGAGAGTGCCAACCAACCTCTAAATATTATAATAATTTATTAAAAGATCTTCCTATAGATAGTGATATTGAAAGAACTCGTGGATGTCGAGAACAAAGTGCCATGTGGCCTCGGGTGTCAAACCAGCATCATGCATCGAGTGTGTACTCTTCGGCGATTGATCCTCATGGTGAGAGGTGCCGGTGAGTATGATGCATTAAAGTTTATTGAAAATTTCTTTAATCTTTGCACAGGACATTTCTGAATATAATATCGAGTTCTCAACATAATTATTTTAATGATTTTGCTTGCCATTTCATATGATTTTGAGTTTACATTTTATACTCTTAATATTGTTCAGAGTTAGAGAATTCTTAAGCTTTATTTCAAATTAATATAACGTCAACAGAGGGGTGTTATTGTGTTTATATTAGTGCCCCCTCCTGTACCATTCCTTATGTGAATATTGTACTACTTTTCCCCTTCCTATACATTTACACACTCTAGAGTATCTTGCAATAATCAGTACTGTATTATAGTAATTGCATCTACAGTACCTTGTGTTAATGTCATGCAGTAGATTTTATCCAGTACTTTCCAAGTAATAACCATACAATCTTGGGCTTAACTGTTTATGGAATCACAGTACTGTTCTTGTTACTTATTTTCATGCTTATAACTCTATAGTTTATGTAATTACATATTTTTACCTATTCTTGTGTTTATTAGCACAAAAGTAAGTACAGTACTGTAATTATTAAAGTAAGGCACCAAGTTCGGAAGACTGTGTAACACTATGATTATTAGCATTATAGCAATTATATTGAGTAATATAATTGTTCCAAATTCTCAGAAGTTCCATTGTAGGCAATTAGATGTGCTTGTTAATTCCACATAACCTATCTCTAAGAATTCGACATTCACCAGTAATACCAACACTGGACGAGGTTAGATGCTACAGTCTTGGCACAGAGTACACTGCCAGATTCTGGGCGTACTAGAGCTTCCAGCTCTCGTTCTGCATTCGAGCTTTCAACTCTGGTTCCTCATTTGAGCTTTCAGCACTGGTTCCACATTTGAGTGCCATGCTCTAGCCCCACATCCAAGCTCTCTACTCATCTCAGCTGTCATGACATGTCATTACATTTCCAATGACAAACTGATGTAACAAGACTATATTAAACATTAAAAACCACTAAACTCTGAGTCTTGTCACCCAAATACATACTGTATATATAAATAAACATAACGGAACTAAGTACTTGGTTAAACTCTTGTATTGCCCAAATCTAAGCATATGCACACAGTACAACATTAAGTTTAGTGGGTGACTGAATGAGTGTGTTATGGCACTCTTCCACGTGGATGTTAACTACGGCAAGATCACCAAGGATCTGATCAGCCACGATCATGATATTGAGGGCAGTGGCACTGCACTAGTACAACATGAATCTTCTCAAATGTCATTGTTTGATCATAATGAAGCTTGGAAGGGATTGGAGAAAAGCTCTTTTTATCCAAGAGTGACTATAGATAGATCTTTCATAAATACTTGGTTTCATCCTTAGGTAATTACAGGGAAATAAAGATTCCCAAGTGTAGTTACACTTGGGTGGGTTACAGCTGATGATGCCATGTTCATGACCGATTTACTTTCACGCTTCACCTGACATGTTTCCTGCCTCAAGCTGCTGTAAGCTGGCTGATGGGGAAAGCTTGCTGGTTACTGGAATTTGTTGGGAACATTTATTAATGTAACTAGACATTAATGGATAGGGGGGATAGGTAGCTGGCATATAAGAACTAACAGGGTTTGCTACAATTGTGATCACCTTCACAGAAAACATCCAGAAAGTAAGCAAAGCATTACAAACAACTGCAAGGTTCGAAGAAAATGAAATCCCTAAATAGCCAAATGTCTTTGTAAATTATTAATTTGAATCCAAATAATGAACATGAAACTAGCTTGAACCCATAGTGTGAATGGCCATCAACAGGAGCTTGAGGCTCCTGCTGATGACCAGTATTGTACACTACTGGATTGCATTATATCATTATGAAACTATTTTTGTATTTTATTAATTTCTTCCTTTTTAGTGTCCAAGTTTAAATTATTTCTTACAATTACTGATTAGGTGATATTTTTCTCCAGTTGTGAACGTTACTCCAGTACAAATCCTCAGGATGTATTTAGAGATTCTCAACATATTCATCCAAGCCATCAAGGTTAGTTTAAGTAACATACTATATTTATGTAACAGAATTCTGTAGAATGAGAGGCAGGAGTGCCCTGTTCAGAACCTGTGTTGCCTGAGGGTTATGAAGATATACTGTAATTCCATGTGATTTGTAATCTTACTTCTTAGTACTCTCTCAAAGATTTTTATGATGTATGAAGTTAGAACTATTGGTCAATAATTTTTTGCTTCTGCTTTGCTACCTCCTTTGTGAAATGGCGCGATCTCTGCTGTTTTAAGTATGTCGGGGATGACATCGGTATCTAGGCTTTGTCTCCAAAAGATGTTTAGGGCCTGTGATAGTGGTGTTTTGCAGTTCTTGATGAATATAGAATTCCAGGAGTCTGGGCCTGGTGCATGGGCATACTTTCTATGGCAACTTCAAAGTCCAGTGGGGTTAATGACATCTGATATATGGTTCGATGTTGGTATCACATTCATAAAGAATTTGTTTGATCTTCAATCTGGTCAGGGGTTTACTGAAAATAGAATCGTACTGAAGCTTCAGTATTTCACTTTTTTTTCTGTGTTGTCACCTGTGACAGTTCCATCACCCTTGCACAAGGGCCCAATGCTGGATGTAGCTTTTGTTCTGATTTTTGCATAGGAGAAAAAGTATTTTGTATTCCTTTCAATTTCACTTATAGCCTTCTGCACCCTTGTCTCTCCTGCATATTGTGCTTATTGCAGCTTGAGCTCAATAATTTCTATTTCCCTACATAGCTTTCCTTGTCAATGATGGGACAGAGTAGTGTGTTTTAGATGTTCTGTTCATTCAGACTGTTTCCTGGGATTCTCTCTACTATAACAGTATTTGCCACATTTTTCCATTTTAGATGTCTTCGATGTCATTGCGATGATAACATCGCAGTGTGATTCCTTTTTGAGTTTCGGGCAAGGAACTCTGTAGTCATACTATAGAATTAATCCTATGAAGTATGATCAAGTTGAAATCACTAAGCAAGATGATGTTAGGGGGCAAGGTTTGTGAAGTTTTCTAAACAGTACAGTATTCTATTTTCATAAGTTGGTCTTAAAACTGCTGAGGATTTGCATTTGGCATTTTATATACAAGGACAATCATTACATTTAGAATTTTTATTTTGATTATCAGCATTTCTACCATATCGCTTGTGGTGTTTAGCAGTTTAGTGCAGATGCGCGTGTCTTTGGTGTACAGGTTGACCCCACCCTGTAGCCTGTGTTTCCTGACACATCTGAAAAGATTGTACTCCAGTGTCCAACTCACTGATGAATAATAATACAATAGTCATCCTTAATGTGAGTTTCAGTTAAAGCTGCAAACATTGCATTTGCCTCATTTAAGAGGCCAGTTATAAAGTGGACTTTGTTTTGCATGTGTTGATGCTTTGCATGTTTGCAAATAAGATAACATTATCATATTTGTGGAAATGCTGGGTATTTTACTTGGTTTAAAAATCCACCCATATGTATTTGTGAAATTTATATAAAGATTTACACACTTTCACACTCTCCCGAGTGCTTAAAGGCCTGAGTATGTGGTTAGGACGAGACTTGCATCTCAACGACTAATGGACTTGATTGGTCGTTGAGATGCTTTTGACCATATCGTGGTATAGTGGGCTATCCCATATCCGGGGAGTTCCCAGCACATAGCTTCAAATTCTCCTCCCGGCTCCTACAGATTTGTCGTTAATACATCACGGTAATGTGATTTCTTTGTGTTTTATTTTTATTAAAGTTATTGTCCCATAGGTGTGTCACTTCTTAAAAATGTCCTGATGTCCATTTAAAAAATAAATATAAATTTTGCCCTAGAGGATTTTACTAAATGCTGATTTTGATTGACAGATGCTAACATTTGTGTTGGTGTGCAGGACTGGGTGGATTCAAGTAGTAGTTTAGCAAGTCAGATGTCACACTCCCATCACACAGGCACCTGTGATCTCCCGCAGGTATTTGATCACATTTATATAGCACAATATTGTATTGTATTAAATATTTGTCATATTTACAAAAAAAATAAATGTATATTGTACTATATTATAAATGTATATTATTATTTTGTATCTTCTAGTTTCGGCATATATAATGCCTCTAACCTCTCCTTGAAACTCTCTTTCTTTCAGTTCCATAATTCATTTAGTTTCATGTCTTTGCACCATTTCCAGTTTATTAGTGTGCTTCTTGAGATACAGGCAATATATAATCTCTACATATTCCAATTTTGGACTCACGAAGGTCATGAACAGTTTCTTAAACTGTGAAACTAAAAAAAGAAACTAAACTTTCTTTCCCCATTTGTGTATTCAAGAGCAATTCTGGAGTTGGAAAGCATAGCATAGTCTCCTCACACAATGTTTATTTTGTGGTCCTTAGGTAACAGTTTTCTATCCAGGATCACCCCTAGATCTCTCTCTTTATCAGAGTTCTTTAAAGACTTTTCACATAATTTGTATGTTGTGTGTGGTCTACTTTCTCCCGTTCCATAATGAGGCATTAATTCGTATTAAATTCTATCTGCAAAGTGTTACTCCATACACTCATAAATATTATGGACCTGCGTCGTGCCTCAGTGCCCACTGGAGCATAATGCACGATTTGTACAGGGCACTAATCGCAGATGAATTTGGTTTTGACATTTTTATGTTTCCAACAGGAAAAAGGAGGGAAGAGAGTTTGGGTGGGTTAAATTTCAAGAGTTTTCAAAGTTAAATCTGCACAACAAAAAGTTAATTACAAAATTAGGCTTTTACTATACTTTTAGATTATTAAAAATCATTGCTTACACGTGTACTGTATATTATTTGAGTGTTTAACATGAATACACTTAAATTTTATAATTTTCAATAAGAAAACCATTTCAAAATTGATGAAACTTTAAACAAAAATGTCACTTAAAAAAAAGTTTTGAATACAATATTGAAACGACAGAATACAGTACTGTACCAGTATGATATTTCATAGCTCAAAATTGCACTATACGTATAATTTCCATCTCCTAACTTATCTCTTAATATATCAAACTGAATTCCTTGATTAAATTTCATGGTAAAGTAATGGTAAAGTTTCATGCAAGTAAGACTAGTGCAATTATGATGTATAACTTGCATGTCAGTGGCTACAAATCCCTCATTATATAGAACTATATTTGACTATTTGGGCTATACCTGCACCAAATATTTATACTGCTCATTTGATTTGAAACGCTAGAAAACAAAGCTAACATTTCCCATTCATTACTCAGGTGGCAGCAAACCCCTTACCGGCATCTGTGCCTCACTTGGACTCTGGACTCTCTCCGGAGGACTGGATCTACAAACACACACATTACTGATGCCATCGCAGTGTGTGCTGTGGCTGAAACCAGACTTAAAAGTGAAAGTTACAAAAAAAGAAATTTAGTGTGAGTAGGAGTGCCAGTTTGTATATTGGTTAGTCTCTTGTGTTGTATATTGTATGCAGCTGTCTCTGGGATCATACAATGTTTCTCTCTCTACAGTCATATACTATATACAACACTCGCTGGTGTTACATACTTTGTGAGTCTGGGTAGGTGGGTGGTGTAATATACTGTTTGTGGAAAAGTTTCATTGTTGTTATTGTATGTGATATTTTCATTGTATTTTTCAAGAGAAAAATACAATGATTTTTCTCTTGAAAAATACACTCTCATTTTCTGGTTATTTGTACTTGGCTGTAGCTCAGGAGTGTGTAAAATATTGTACAGTGCACTAAGCATACTGTAAATGATTCTATATACCAAACATGTTTTCATGTGTATTATTCATGAAAAAATATAAAATGCTCTTCATATTTCTTAGTGTGTATAATATACCTTGGTAGCTTAGATAGTAAATGGAAGTCATGATTTTTAAATGGATGGCTTATAACTTTTTGTACAATATATTTTTGTGTGTATAGAGGAATCAATTTGACTTAAGACAATCATCAGTTTGTTCAATTTATTTCTGCAACAATATCAAAACTGCACGTTTCAGTATAGAGTAATACCCTTCAGGTTCCCATTATTAGAGACAAAGCCTGTTAGGCCTTTTCTTCATCTTGTTAGCACCTTTCTTGCAAGGCATCATCTCTGGGTTTGCACCAGCGGCCCTTTTGCAGTTCTCCCTCTTGGTGGCATGGTGTGGGGGCGGCTGGCCTGGTTTGACTCCTGGTCACAGCCAGGAGATTAGTAGAGGCATATAAGTTGGTAGATGATTCCTTGACAATTTTGAAACAGCAAGATGATGCTGAGTCATCTAAACATCTCAAAATTTATATTAATGGTCTTGCACCCTACAAGCAAATTTACCTGGGAAAGATGATAGTTCTGCAAAGCACTGAGAAAATATTTCCCAATAAAGTCTCCAGCTCGGCAATTGCCTCATAGATAGGCAATTGCCGGGCCTTTTCTTACTATTATCTTACAATTGCCTCGACAATTTTTAAGATAAGAAAAATTCTGACCCAAAACCATCTGCTTCAGTAGCTAGTGACACTGAAAATGACCAGCCATCATCTGCATCTCCAATGAAATGTCACTACAGATGTATTGCTATCTTGTCCAGCAATTAGATCTCTTCACTCCTCAAAAATGGCCAACTTTGACAAGCAGAATAACTCCACTCAAGGTAAGTAATATGCCGAGTTTTGTATAATTCCTAAATAATTGGGTGTGTGATGGTTTTTGGTGGTCCGTGAATGCATCCCCCTTTATAGCATTGCACCTATGGAAAATCTCATTTCGCATTCCAAACAATGCTTCAATAACACATTCCCAGAATAGCAGGCTGGATACGTAGTCTTTTGGTTCGGGGTTTGATTCCCGGCGCCACAGGATATGGGCAGGGTTTCTTTCACCCTAATGCTCCTGTTACCTAGCAGTAAATAGGAAGTACCTGGGAGTTAGAGAGCTGTTACGGGCTGCTTCCCGAGGTGTGCGTGTGTGTGTGTGTGTGTGAAAAAAATTAAGTTAGTAGTAGTTAGCATACTTAAGAGTTAGCATACGGCCAGTTAAGAGGCAGGCCGAAAGAGCAGAGCCCAATCCCCGCAGGCACAACTAGGCGATTACACACACTGGGAGATGAAATTCTTCAAGAATCAGAGACCTGGGAGTTGGTATCACGCCAGACCTGTCCCCTGAAGCCCATATCAAGAGGATAATATCAGTGGCATATGCCAGGTTGGGAAACATAAGAACAGCCTTTAGAAACTTGTATAAGGACTCTTTCAGAACTTTGTATACCTCACATGTCAGACCAATCCTGGAGTATGCAGCTCCAGCATGGAGTCCATGTCTAGTCAAGCATAAGACTAAACTGAAAAGGTTCAATGGTTTGCGCCAGACTAGTACCCGAACTGAGGGGTATGAGCTACGAGGAGAGACTACAAGAATTAAACCTCACTCCACTGGAAGACACGAGTTAGAGGGGACATGATCACCACATACCAAAGGATTGATAGGGTAGATAAAGACAGGCTATTTAACAGAAGGGACACACACTAGGGGACACAAGTGGAAATTGAGTGCCTAAATGAGCCCTAGACATTAGAAAGAATTTTTTTTAGTGTCACGAGTAGTTAACAAATGGAATGTATTAGGAAGTCATGTGGTGGAGGCAGACTCTATACACAGTTTCAACTGTAGATATGATGAAGCCCAATAGGCTCAGGAACCTGTACATCAGTTGGTTGAGAGGTGTGACCAAAGAGCCAGAGCTCAACCCCTGCAAGCACAACTAGATGAGTACAACTAGGTGAGTACAAGAGTAAAATGTAAGGTGCTCCAGTGGCTCTCCCTCACATAAATGAAAGAAATGCTGCTATTGGCCTTGCAGTGTGTAAGTTGCAGGTGGAAACAAATGAAAATTATCAAATAAATAATTAAACAATTTACTGAAATAGTAATGAACAAAAATAACACATGACAATACTTGACTATCATGTAATGCAAAGGTGAACAAGTTAGTATGACCTTAAATGCAAAAAATAAACTATAAGCCATGAATAAAAGTATGAAGATATACTGGTGTTCTGAAGACAGCTACCATACCACCATGGCATCAGTCACATGATGTTGGCTGGAAGTGGACGACGGGTTAGAGACACCAAGGTGATCCTAGAGCACTAAGGGAGAGATTGCCTCTCCAGGGAGGCAGCGCTCTTTATATAGTCCGGCGGTGATGACTCGTCCAGTGTCAACACGAGGTGGACATCTGGTCAACTAGCAAACTGCTCGTTGTGGCTGGCAGTGCCTTTGTGTTGAGCTGTACCACTGTCAGTTGAAGGCGGCTAACTGCTTGTTTGTGGGGACAAACTGCCAGTTAGCAGTGGCGCCCGGCTTGCCTCTGAGTCGTACCAGGCCGTGCCAGGCCCTGGGGGGTATGGAGAGGTGGCAGGACTGATGACTCTTCTGGGCTGGTGTAGATGTATACTTCCAGTGCAGAGGCATTGAAGGTGAAGGGAAAAGGCAGTTCCACTGCTATGCAGGGGATTCACGTGACACTTGTGAAGCCACAGAAAGTCTGGAGGCCCTACTGAAGCCAGTCCAAGTATTAAATATAACCCCTGAAGTACGCCGGTGAAGGGTAAAGTGAAGGGTGAAGCAAGACCGTATGCCCCAACTTCAGGCACACACAGAAAATCACGTTTTGGTCCCGCCTCTCAACTGTGTATTTGAAGTTGGGGCGTATGGTGTTGAACTGCTTCAGTCTTCACCTGAGTGCTTGTAGGTCTTACGTAAGACGTTGACTCAAGGAGGGGCCTCAAAACTTGCTGTGATTTATGGGGAAATCCGGTTGTAAGACTTTTACAAAGTCAGTAATATACTGTGGTAGAGTATGCAGCTGCCAGTGCCTTGGGCAAGGGTTTACGTCGCCTCACAGCTCCAGTGGATTTTCTGCTTGGTGTATATCAGGTTGTGATTTTGTGTGTGTACCGTATTGTTATGATCGCCGTCTGATAAGTCCTTTCTGGCCTCAAAGAGTCATTTTTACCCACCTAGAAAGATTGCAGATGGCCAAAGCAGTTATTTAAGTTAAGAAGGGACAAGTCTTAAACAGAATTTTGCATAATATTTGACTGTAAAGGGGTAAATTGAGGTAGATTGAAAAACAAAATGGTGAACCGGGCAGGCGGTACTCACAATTAGGCGAGTACACTCGGGAACTTTTAAAGTGCAACCAAACATGCTTTAGGCTCTCACAACAAGAGGTGAGTGGTGGTGGCTCAGGTGCTCAGCCAATCAGAGCACCTAAGGAGGGAGGGCAGGAGTGAGAGGGGGGTGGTATGTGGAAGTTTGGTGACAGTTGTGTGTAGTTTGTTCATCTTCATTGTAAGTTTCATGGCTTGGTGTGCATTTCCCTAGTAAATTTAATTAGGGAAAAATTCAGGTGTTTGATTTTTTAAATCAACTTTTTAAATGTTGAGTTGTTAAAGCCTCAAAGTGCATGGAGTTGGTTTGGGAGTATGGCATCCTCATGCTGTTGCGTGCTCGCGTGAGGTAGCAAAGGTGATTTGGGTAGTCCAAGCATGGGACGGGACGTCCCATGCTTGGGACGTCCTCTCTCGGGATGGCTGGTGTTAGACCTGTGTGTTTGTCGGTTGTTGAAAAGCCGTCATCCTTTGCTGTTGTGGTATTGATTTTACATTGTTCATCTTGTAATTAATACTGTAGTGCGATATCTAGGGCTACCATTTGTAGGTTTAAAATGTCTAATACAAACAGTTGTCCAATGAGTTTTAATAGGAAATATCATCCACCAAGCACCATTGTACAATTATATTAATTGATAGTATATGGATTGTGCAGAACTGCTTAGAATGATCTTTAACACTTGGCTATATTGGTCATGTCAAATACCTGCACGGTGAATGCTCAAAGACCCTTTCTTTATTCAGTGTTGTCACATACCTCATGGGGGTATGGATAGGCAAACACTCATTCGGTTAAACTTGCCTTGTAGTACTTTCAGAGCTCAGTAATTTGGAATCTGGTTAGCACTTTCCAAATAAATTGACCTTTAAAGTGAATTCCTATTTAGGTTTAAAACATTATACCGAATGAGAAACTCGGATTATATAGCCGAACACCAGAAATGTTGTTATTCAATTTGGTTGCCTAAAGCACATTCAAGGACTACACATTACATGGCATTCCAGGATTCCTCTATACCTTGCCTTATGCTGTAAACATTGCCACAACCCTGTGTTTTATTGATTTAAATGGCCACAGGGAGGCATACAACACTGCAGATTATGATGTCATTAGTGACACCCACTGTGCTGACAAGTGGGCTGACTGATGTTCGTTGACACCTGTATCGTGCTTCAATTTAATCGCCAGGAGATCACCCTCTCACTAGACTCGTCAGTAGGAAGTACAGTATAGTATCTCAAATTACCTTGGATCATAAATAGCATAAGACTTGGGGGTAGGAGAGGGTTGCAGTGTTTGTCATGGCTCTCAGTTGTTCCTGGTATTAGGCAATTTAGTTCTGGAATCATTTTTGTTGGCCAATGTTAAACTTTTTCGAAAGTAGATGTTTTTCTGAAAGGGAAGGGGGGGGGGAACCTCTATGCTTGGATACAGTTATCTAAGTGAATACTTAGATTTATACAGTAGAATAACTACCTTCTTTTCCTTAGTCGAAAAGGTTGCTTGTTTATTTCTAGGGACTTGTATTTTCTTTTCTTTTTAACTGCAGCAACTTTCAGTGAATGATAGATTCTTACTGAAAGGACCTTTACTTCATTGTTGTTGCTTTATGGTCATCTCATTGTGTACAGGGATTCCGCGAAGCTTTTGGGGTTAGTCTTTGACACTCGTTTGTCTTGGTCAGCCCATATCTCTTGCCTCCGAGTTGAATGCTCTAAGGCCCTTAACCTCCTTAAGGTTTTGTCCCATACTTCTTGGGGAGCGGATAGGCGCACGCTCCTCTATTTGCACTCCTCTCTCGTCCTGTCTAAACTCAATTATGGTTGCCCTGCATATTCTTCTGCTTCTCCTTCTACTCTTCGCCATCTTTATGCTTTGCACCATACTGGGTTGCTTCTCGGCTCTGGTGCCTTTCGTTCGACTCCCGCCCTTAGTTTGTATGTTGACACTGGCTTTCTCTTCAGGACTGCCATGATCGCTACTGTCTTCGCTATCTTGCGCGGTCCTTCCAATATCCTTCCTCTCGCCTCTGTCGTGCATTGACTTTTCCTCCTCCTGTGGTTCCTGTTCCTCTTCATTGTCTCCCACTTCCTGTCCAGTTATCTCACTTACAGGATTCTCTTTCTGTTCATATTTCTAATGTTTCTCCTCGTATTGTTCCTTCATTACCTCCGTGGAGAGTCCCCCTTCCCAAGTTTTGTACGTCCTTGACTTGTATTACTAAAGCCTTTACCCCTCCTACAATTCTGAAAAGCCTCTTCCTTGAGCACTTTTCTTCGCACTCCCACTCTATTTCCATCTTCCCTGATGGGTCTAAGTCTGCGGATGGTGTGGGCTACTCTGTCGTTTTTCCTGACCGTACTTACATGTCGCCTCCCTTCGGAGGCTAGCGTCTTTACGGCAGAACTTTATGCTATTCTCTATGCTCTTTGTCTCTTGCTTTCTCATTCTCATTCCTCCTTTGTGGTTGTAGTTGATTCTCGTAGTGCCCTCATGGCTCTAGGGTCCTTTAATCCTGTCCATCCGGTGGTCATTGAGATTCAACATTGGCTGTTTCTTATTTCTAGTAAATTTAAATCAGTGGAGTTTTGCTGGGTTCCCAGCCATATTGGTGTTTCAATGAGCGTGCGGATGCTGCCGCTAAGGAAGCTATCCGTTTTTGTCCCATCTCCCGTAAAGGTATTCCTTATTCCGACTTTTATCCTGTTATTCATTCTTCCCCGTTGGCAGGGTTGTTGGTCCTCTGTGGTTGGTAACAAGCTGCGTACTCTCAAACTTAGTGTGTCCCCGTGGCCTTCCTCCTACCACCGTAACCGGCGGTGGGACACTGCTTTGGCACGGCTGTGGGTTGGTCATACCCGCTTAACCCACGGTCACTTAATGGAGCGCCGCCCTGCTCCTTATTGTCCGAATTGCGTTGTCCCTCTTACAGTTGTGCATATCCTTGTTGAATGTCCTGACTTCCAGGACGAGCGTGTCTTGCTTTCCGACCGTCCCTCGCAGTCACTTGTCCCTCGATAGAATTCTAGGTGAATCGGATACTTTTGATATCGTTCGCCTTATGCGTTTTTGTTCTGGTATTGGCATTCTTGGTGATATTTAGCGCCCTCTGATTATTTCGCACTTTGATGGTGCTACATGGCCTTCCCGGTTTGGTGCCTTCTTTTGGTAATTACCTTACCTTCATTGTTGTTTCATTTTAATGTGGTAGTTGTGATATGGGTTGTTCTGGCTCACATGCAAGGTCTTGGATTTTTTTCTGTTTTATATTTACAAATAGTAACAAGACTGGCAATTTCTTGAGTTAGAGATCTGCATTAAGGCCTCAATATTATATTCTTTATTTTTTTGATAACATGTTATCAGCAATTTTTGTGGTTGGTAATATTTAGATTAATGTCAGTGATGTATATGACAAGGGTTAAGACCCCTTGTGATATGACTGGGAAAAATGCTGTCATTTCTTTAACATGTGAAAGGGTCCTCATAACCATTCTTGTCCTTTCTACCATGTACCCGTTTGTTGCTTCTTGGTCTTTCATTTGGTACTTTGGCTATTAAAACAATGGCCTTTGGTAATGTTGCAATTACCATTTCTAAAAAAAATGAGCAGGTTCATTAGGCAGGGTTTGTTTTTAGCAAACAAAGTTTTACAAAAAAAAATTCCATTCCTTCAGGACCTTGCAGATGTTGTCAAACTAATTGATGGTAATCTGTTTTGCCCTTTCAAACAATGATGGTTTTAATCTAGGTAAAATATTTCAGAATATCTGACAAGTTTGGCAGGCAAATCATTTAAGAGCTTTGATTAAATTTAAGTTACCAAAGACTTTGAAGCATCTATACAACATGGTTTTCAGTGTCACTTTTCAAATGTTTTGTAAATTTAACAATGATCTTTAGTTAATTTAATCATAATTTGTACAAAGCTTAGGTGTTTCATAGCTTTAAATTTACTTTCAAATATGAAAACTAAAATATTGACTAAAGTTTCTTCCACTTTAATATTTCAGACTAATTTGCAATGTTAGTCTATTTAAATGAATAGGTAGTCCACTTTTACATCTTTTCAATGCATTTTGCATGCACCTATGTAACAAGTTACAAATAGGTGTAAATTTTAAAGTATTTTCAAAGTAAAAAAATTTCAGATGTTTAAACATTGAATCAATAGTAGTAAACAATAATTTCCAGCATAATTTCAGGATAAGGTATATAAAGTAGTTTCATTAAAATTGTTTTTTAATAAGTTTTACATATAGTATTTATAATATATTTATTACCATTTCAGGTTGTGGGACAGATGCTCCTAGATGAACAGAAGATCCAAAAGGCCAAGACAACTCCAGAGACAATCACCTGTAAAAGAAAAATAAACATTAAACAGGGACACTACTTTTATTATCACCAATGCCTAATAATAAGCCAAAAAAACCTAACACCCAATCTTTTAAGATTGGGTCAGCAAGGCCTATCCCTTCCTCTGAATTTAGTGCAGAGCTTGTTCCCTGAATGGGTGCATTACATCCACCACTTTAGTGCCATCAACACATTGTACATATGCTTTACTGAAGGCACTGTACAATGCATGCCAGGCACTAAAGCTTTAGATGCATCCACCCATTCAGCAAACAAGCCCTGTACAAATTAACAATGTAACCATTGTTAAGGGTCCCTAAACCTATGCAAATCTAGTCCATCTATTAGATGGGTAGTAGAGCAAAGCTCTGAAAAAGCCAAGCCAGGGAAATCTGCAGGACTGCCTGGTCCCCTTTTATGAAATGGGGTAGGATCAGTACAAACTGCATCATCCCCTGTGGGTTGTAACAGTAGGACATGGTTACACACCTATAAATGGACTAGATAAGAGAATTAAGATTAGGTCATTGATATAGCTAAAACATAGAATTCAAACTCACCCACTTTTGTAGAGTAAAGGAGACTCACTCCAAGCCAGTCCATGCATCAATCACTTTCACCTGAAAAATATTTCAACAAATTTATTTCAGATTTAAAGCCAATCTTGCTTTACTTTTCAAATTAGCATTCAGTAGTTTACAAATTCAGATGGAAAAAATTTCTTTAAGGAATTTACCTTTCCTACATATTCTAGTAGCAGTAGTAAAGATCTAATTTAGCAATATAAATATATATATGGCATCAATTTGCCAAGTTTCAGTAAATGTCATTTGAGAAACTATCCAACTGCACTTCAATGGCAATTTACATTTATCTTTAGCCAATGCTATATTGTTTGTTACTATTTTTTTACTTTTATGCAAATCTATTCAGATTAACCTTTACTACAACTCACCTGATTCTGTTTAAGCAATTAACTCTTCCGAGGGACTTCTGGACTTTCCAAGCCACATTCTGGAAAACTATATAAATTTAAAACCAAGCTAAAGTAAACATTGAATATTTTTTTTACTTTCAAGGGAAAAATACCATCACTTAGAACAAAACTTTTCCTGCCATTAACTTTAACTCATGATTACCCTTAACAGTGTTATACATTTATAGATTAAAGCTTATTTAAACATTTAATGTTAACTAAACAAGATTTATATTTCATTAAAATTTTATTAATACAACACCCTCCACTACGCTGTTTAAGATCTAATGCCCCACATTACAATTTTCACAATTTCAACATACCATTCTATTCAATACATTCCTGAAAGGACTAAACTTGCAGATATGGTACCCACTAGCCTAAGCCTAGACTTCCATACCCTAATATTTAATAGGTTTTTAGCAATTAACTTCTACCCTCTAATTCCAATGTACACAACACTACTTACTGTAGATCTGCAAGTATTTTCCTGCAGCTCTTTGTTGCCAGGACCTTCCACAACCTGTCATGTGAACAGCAAATATTACTAAAAAGTTATTTGCATAGCAATGTTATTTTGTTCATACCTGTACCATCAGTTTAACAGTTGCCGTTTTAAATGGCACACTAACTATCTTGTTGTCCCATCTTTATTAATTACAAACAAAGCTATAGTCATTTCAAGTCAACATCCTATACAAATTTTATTTTCCAACAACTTTAGTCATGAACATTTTTCTGGAACATTGCAAAAACTTTAATTTAACAACCATGTATAACATTTGAATAAAAGCAATACAAAATTTATATATACAAATTCTTATTCTTTTGCAACCACTGCTTACTACTTGGGGGATAAATTTATTCTGTTTAATTATGTACCAAGCTTTTTAGTCTGAAAATTCATAATTAACCCAACTATACTACCAAGACAATGTGATTTTACTAAATTTAGTAATATTTTTACACTAGCAACTATACAAGGCCATATTCTCTCCAGTTATCACCACACTTCTGCAGGTGTAAGGTTCTATCTCCCCATCTGCAGCACTCATGACCACACTTGGTCTTTATTATAAATTTCTTTATGAACCTGATACAGTACTGTTAATAGATTAAATGTTTTGTGGGAACAATTTAGCTACAGTTCTGCCAAAAGGAATGATTAATACACCATGCAAGCCAACTAATATTAAAATTAGAAATATTTATTAAAAGCAGAAGTTTTTATCATATGGGATGTTATTTTAGAAGAATGAGTGGTGTGGTGGTTATGTTATGGTTGAGTAACATGGTACAAGAGGGCAAGTAGTTGCTGAGCAAGTATGCCAATTTCAATTTCTAGCAAACTGGCAGATACAGCAGAAGTGCACACTTTCTGCATAGATTCTAATGGCAGTAAAGTTCCTACTAGAGTGTTACTGGCTACCATTCACTAATGACTAGGGGAAGTTAGCTCAGAGCATCTTTGATGTGCTTTGATGGCAACGAAAATGTTGCCCCCCCCCTTCAAAAGTTAAGCTTGTCTACAGCATTTTTATTTTAATTAACTATGTAAGGGGGAGATTCTGAATAGCAAGTGCCAATAGGCACTGCCACTGGCTTATGGCAAAAGATTCTGTAGCAATAGAACTATAAGCTACACTTTCTCTCCCCCCCCCCTTCCTCCCAACTGTTCAGTGTCAAAAGGGAGGTGGGGTGTCCATTTACTGTACCACTTACATTTTAGTGTGGGCTTCATCCACTATTCTGATAGCTGGAACATTTGTGCCAGCTGCTGGTTTGAAAGGGAGGCATACCATGTGCCAATTCAGGAAGCTTTCCACGTTCCTCACTGCATATCAGCTCAGGACCTCACTACCATGTTGGGAGGCAGTTGAAGACTAACCAATCAACATCCCAGGCTGGAGAGCAGTGCCAGCTCTGGGAGAATTTACCACCTGCAAAAAATTTAATACTCTTTAACAATCTACACCATCTATCTCATCTTTACCTAGCCCCCAAACCTTACATTTGTCAGCATTAAACTGCATCTGGTAGTCTTAACCATTTCAAAACTATATAGGGCATCGGTATTTTTTATTTGCCAATTCTGCAACTATTGCAGTCTAAACCATAATCTTGTGAATAACCGAGGTCCAAGGAGAACTTTTAGGCACTACTTACAACACTTCTCCCAACTTAACCCCATTTATACTAATTTCCTTTGGTATAGCCATGACCTAATCAACTTCAGTCAGCATTCCCAATGATCCGAGCCCCTATCAATTTTGCGCCACTATCAAAATCTCTGAAGTCAAGGTACACAAAATCACAAACCTTATCACTATTTCCTCAACTATGCAACCTAATCCATGAACATTTAGTAATAAAACTATGCGATTCATGTATCTAGTTATGTTTCTCAAAAAGAGTAGAGAAATGGCACTTGCCATGTTAGATTCTAGTAACTTTCCTCACAATAGACTAAGCTAATTGGTCACTAACTTAAGCGTTAAAGTCAACTCAAACTTTTCCTTTAAAACTTGCTATATTAGGAACTTTCCACGACCGGCCTTTACCCGACATAATTAAATAGGGTAAAAACGATATATTAAATGCAGTAAAACTACGGTAAATTCAATATGATAAACTTGCATTCTTTAAGCATGGGCTGCATAGTAAGTGAACTAAACAATGTTAAGCACCCTGACAAACCACTTCGTTCTATTCAATTTCTTTATTTAATTTATTTAATCACTTTGTCCGGCTAGAATTTTTAGATTTAGATTAAAGGAACACCCTCCCTGGTAACGGCTGAACTAGTTAACCAAATACAAATATTTAGGTAAAATACTTTCATAAAACCCGTCTACTTCCCCCACCAGTAGACTTGTTCAGCTAAAGGCATAATGTAATGTTCCACTTTAGTAAATAAAGACTTAAAAAAACACTACCCCATCTGTGTACTTACCGGTTACCTGACATTCTACGCTTAAAATAAGCCATCTATTCCCCATAATTGTTCGATATAACTTACCTCTCACCCGCTGGTCGAGTACACAGCAGTATATATCCTCCTCCATCACTCACCGCGTGGATACTGTTTCGCTCTGGCCGCAAATTGCCTCAAATCACCTACGTTGTCCATAAACATATATAGAAGAGCAACTGACCGTAACACCGTATAGCGATCATCACATAACGTGGGAACATTAGTAGTACTGCTGTCAAAACATAGATGGCGCCAGGACAAACGGTAATTCCTATCTGGTAAAGTTCTGCCCGAAACGCATTGCGTAATAGTGGCTTTAGGCATTGTATGTACTAGCTCTATCTATATATTGATCCATTAATGTAACATCACTTGTATGTATGTACCTTACCTGAATAAACATATTTATTTATATTTATATTCTATGGACTCGGATACAAGACACTCCGTACATTGACAACATCGCACACTAATATTTTTACCACTTCGGACACCAGCTTTAGACGTTTCGCATATGTGTACGTGTTCCATATTAAAACGACAATATAATGCTATTAACAATTAAAATCTTCTATTTAACAGGCATATAGTTATTAAATGAAGTTTAGTGATGTAATAGACATAATCAGGAGTTGGTAAGGACGCCGCCCGCCAGCGTAAACACAACACACCCGAATGCCCACAAACACGATACAACGCACAAAACACAACACTTCTGTCAGTTTTTTGATAAACTCCTTTTATATTTATTATGTGATAGTTATACTTGCATAAAATGATAACTATTATAGGTAAGCGCCTAATATTTAATATTAATCAATAAAAAAGAAGTCAGAAGCCACACGCCTGTCTGTACATGTCTTTTGTGTAAAAGTATTTTGGGCGCTCATGTACTTGTGCGCTAGCTGGCGTTCACACCTGTTCTCGCCTACAAGCATTAGAATTAAACAAACGAATTTATTTTTTCATTTATATACAAGAAGAGAAGGCTACTCTTGAGTCTGTAATATTCATCTGATCACTGGTCTCCCATTTGGTCCTCATTGATTTATAAAATAAAAAAAATAAAAAAAAATAAAATGTTTATTTAGGTAAGGTACATACATACAATAAATTTTTACAAAGATTGGTTGACTTATAGGTAGAGCTAGTACATACAATGCCTAAAGCCACTATTACGCAAAGCGTTTCGGGCATGATAAACTTAAATGACAAGCTTAATACTAATTGAGGATAATGAGTAGAATGAAAACAAGAAATGAAAACATAGATGAAAAAGCAGCACAAATACAATTATGTCGACAAACAGCGCTCTTAAAAAAAAAACAAAAAAAAACAGACATTGGTTGACAATAGAAGTGTAAGGTAGGTTACAGGGAATTTATTAGGTATAGCTTCGTTTTTATCTTAAACTGGTTGAGAGAGGTACAGTCTTTAACATGGTTGGGAAGGTCATTCCACATTCTGGGCCCCTTGATTTGTAGAGCATTTCTAGTTTGATTAAGTCGTACTCTTGGAATATCAAAACTGTCTTACTTAAAACTTATCTTAACTTATCTTACTTAAAAACTTAATATCAAAACTTATCTTACTATTATTGAATGTCAATAACCGTATTATGCAATTTCAATTTCTTCTATTTCTTTCTTTATTATGCACCCCATACCCATCCCGTGGGCGGTGGTGTAAAGGATTACAGAGGCACATAATCGGTTCAGGAACTGAACCCTCTAGTTCGGTTAGCTAAGCAAGTAACAGTGTTTGATGACCAGACCACACACTAGAAGATTCTCTTGCCTATTCTCTTGCCTATTTAATGCCTGTCCCTACCTGTCCTCATCACAATCGACTTGAGAATGGTCCAGGACGGACCGAAACGTCGTCGTCCCTTCACCTTCTAGTGTGTGGTCTGGTCAACATACTTCAGCCACGTTATTGTGACTCATTGTGACGCTAGTTACAAAATTATTAATGTTGTATACACATGTACACACACTCATACATACATGTATGTACGACTACTGGATCACTGTGTACAGGAGGCTGTTATGGCAGCAAACACTCTCCAGGCGACCATATATCTTGGATAAGTCGCTCCACATAATTGTCGCTTGGACCGTCGACTTCCTATGGCGTCACCTCTCACATATTTACGTCTCATTTCGTTATGAAATTAGATTATTTTAGAGTAAATATAGGTTTGATCATGTTCTACGTGTAGCACCAACATTATAGTAAGTAAATATACCATATTTCTTCATTACTTACGTAATGCTAGGACGATTTGTGTAGTTTTGGGCCGATTTGGGTAATTCTATGGACCCACCACAATTGGTTTGAGGTGTTCTGTTAAGCAGCAGTACATCAGGACGTTCAGTCTCAATAAAATCAGACACCCTGTGTCTACTGGCGAAGAATACTCGTACATTGAATTGTATGATCTTTATGGGAGGTTTTGAGCTGTGTGGAGTGCGAGCAAAAACAGAATAACCACCAGGTTGACAGATGGCTTAGTTACCGGCATATAAACTACAGGGTGTATTGGAAGGGGTCTTACTGAAGATAGGAATGGAAGAGCGCTTTTTGTCTTGCAAGATGCGAAATCCTTTGCCAAGTCCAAAGTTCATGGCTGAGGGTGGAGGAGTAGGGTCTAGAGAAGTCAGATGTCAGAGTGGAATTTTTTGCAGGAGTGGCAGTGGAAGGGATACCGATGGTGGGTTTAGTAAGGAGAGAGGAGAGGTCAGTGGTTTGAGAGGAAGAGACAATAAAATGAGAGGCTAGGTCGGTGGGATGTGAGACCGGATTATTGGAGGGAGAGGCAGATGCAGGGTGAGGAAGGGTTTCGTCAGGGGAAGGTTGGGATAGTATGTGCTGGTCAACAGTGGTTAGGGTTCCGTTTTCTGTCTTAGTGATAGAAGCACTAGTGTTGGGAGTGTGGGGGACTGTAGAAGACGTGGTGTGTAGATGCTGTGTCAGGGTATGTACCGTGGAGGAAAAAGGAACGCAGCGCAAGATGTGTAGAGAAGGTACAGAAATACTAGGAAGGCTATTATGAATGAGAAAGATGGGAAGGTAATCAGCAAATATTCTGCTTGAACGTAGGCTGTGACTGCTCTTTTTTAATCTTTTCTCTTCTCTGAATCTCTTTTTTTTAAACTGTGTTGTTTCTGCAAAAATTTCCCTATAATTAGACATTGTTTTGTGCGAGATGGTAAAATTATAGCTAGGAGGACTGACACTGGAAAAACTTATTCAATAACCACTGAAGCTCACCTTAATTCTTTTCTCAGTGACTGTGGGATAACTGCTGTATAGCCTGAATTCAAATTATAATCTCATTTAACTACCATTGTTTACTTTAGCTCTGCCTTTCCTTTCAAAAGGTTTTAACTTTATTTAACAAACAAAATTGTCATCTTTATTATTGTCTTTTTTTTCTGTTTACTCCCATGTTCCATAGTACACTGACTTTGCCTGTGTCCTCTAGTATTAACTTCATTATCCAATGTTCCTGAGTGTATCTCTATTTAAATTACCTCAGTTTGTTTTAGTGTAACTTTAATATTCAACTATAGTGTACTTATAATAGTATAGTAAGTAAGCTTTTCATTTTATAGATTTCATAATTGCTTTTTGACTTTTTTGGTCATCTATTGTTATTAATTATTCTACTTCATTTTTTACATTCCTAAGTTCCCATTAAGTTTTTATTACTTAAATTACCATTAAGTTTATATTACTTTAGAATTTTTATTCTACTTTTTCTTTGTAACCCAGGTTGCCTAGCCCAACCACCATTGTTCCATTGTGCCCTTGGCTTTGCCTGTGCTATTTTGATCATTAGTGCAAATAATTACCTACAGTGTACCTGAAAGTACTCTTAAGCAACCTACCTCATTTTTGTGTATAGTTTTATATATATTTTTTTTCATAGTTCTTTCATCATTGTCTTTTTGGCTTTTCTGTAGAACAGCCCTCTTATGCAAACTATTATAGATCCAGACCTTAACATCTTATCTAGTATCTATGACAATCAGCACTTTAATGATCAAAATAGCAGATATTACACAGCACATGATGTAAACAATGTTTTAGTGTGTAATCACAATGTTTCTGTAATTAACTTGAATGTAAGATCTCTTAGCAAGCACTTTGATGATGATAATGCCCTGATTCAAACAGTTGACAACAAATTCTCTTTTATTGTGTTTACTGAAACGTGGTTAAAAGAGGACACTTCTCAACTCTACAACATACCAAACTACTCAGCCATTCACAACAATAAGCAAATTTCTGACAAAAGATTAAACAATCCATGGCTCACAAGTGGCATTCTCAACTCAATCAACAAGAAACATGAATTTATTACTATTAACAGTCGTGAACTATCGTTATCCGTTCTCGCTATGATCTCTCTCATTATTGTTATAAGACCTTCTCGTTTACTATCTAGCTCCTCCTTTGACCATGTGCTGCTTAGCGGTGGACTATATACATTTATGTATATTACCTTACCAAACAAGTAACTGATAAAAGAAAAAATAACCCGTGGCTCACAAGTGGCATAATTAAATCAATCAACAAAAAACATGAATACGAAAAGAAATTTAGGGGTGGCCTAGTTTCAATGGAAGTAGTTAAAAGGTACTCATCAGTGCTTACCAGTATCATAAGAAAAGCAAAACTTTCGTATTATGAGACTAGATTCAAAGAAGCAAAAGGCAACATGAAAAGCACATGGAATACCATCTCTAACATCCTGGGAGCTAAACAACACTCCCACAACCAGATAACACTCTCTAAGGATGGCTTTACACTGTCATCTGACTTAGAAATGGCGAATGAATTTAATAGCTTCTTTTCATCGATTGGTGCTAACCTTGCAAGTAAAATCCCACAGACTCAGACACATATCAACACATATCTCTCAGGCAGCTATCCAAACTCTCTTCTCCTCTCACCAGTCAGCCCATCAGATGTTGTGTCCATCATACACTCACTAAAAACCAAAGCTGGGAACATCGGTGAAATCCCATCCATTGTATACAAGAGCGCCTCCCATGCCCTTGCACCACCTATAGCTCTGCTGTTCAACAAATCCCTTGAGTGTCATACCTTCCCTGATATCCTTAAAAACGCAAGAGTAACGCCAGTTCATAAAGGAGGTAATCCGTCAGACATAAACAACTACAGACCAATATCGAACCTACCCATACTATCAAAAATATTTGAAAAAATTATCCACAAACAGCTCTACTCCTATCTCGTAAAATACGACATTCTTAGCCCCTGTCAGTTTGGCTTCCGCTCTCAAAAGAGTACCAACGATGCAATTATTAGTCTCCTTGATATAACTTACTCAGCCCTTGACAAAAATGAGTTTCCAATTGGACTCTTCATTGACCTGAGAAAGGCCTTTGATACGGTTAATCACGATTACCTCTTATGTAAACTCCATCATTATGGAATCCGAGGCCATGCACTGGACTATATCCAATCCTATCTTAGTGATAGACACCAATGTGTAGCCATCAATAATATTATCTCTCCCATTCTACCAATAACCGTTGGAGTGCCACAGGGCAGCATCTTGGGACCCCTACTATTTCTTATATACATTAATGATCTGCCTAATGTCTCTAACATTCTGAAACCTATTTTGTTTGCTGATGATACTACCCTCATTTACTCCAACCCCAACCCACATACACTAAATGATGTTGTTAATATTGAACTAAAAAAAGTCCACTTATGGATGTCAACCAACAAACTAACACTTAACATAGAAAAGACCTACTACATCCTATTTGGAAGCAAATCTACAAATGCAATTCAGCTTCAGATTGACAATGTAAACATTAGCAATAAAAATGATGGAAAGTTTCTTGGCATATTCCTAGACAAGAGACTCAACTTCAGTACCCACATACAACACATAACTAAGAAAGTCTCTAAAACAGTTGGTATACTCTCCAAAATCAGATATTATGTTCCTAACTCTGCTCTCATCTCTCTTTATTATGCACTAATCTATCCCTATCTCAACTATGGTATCTGTGCATGGGGTTCAACCACTACAAACCACCTCAAGTCCATCATCACCCAGCAAAAATCTGCTATCAGAATAATATCAAATTCTGCTTTCAGACAACACACAGCCCCATTGTTTAACTCCCTAAACATGCTAAACATAATCTCTCTCCACAAATTCTCTTGTGACAACTACATTTACAAAACCCTGTTCTTAAATGCAAATCCTTGTCTGAAACTCTTCCTGGACAGATGTAATAGGACCCATTATCACCACACCAGAAATAAATATCTCTTCGATATCCCCAGAGTTAAACTTAATCTGTGTAAACACTCTATGCAAATAAAGGGACCCAGTTTATGGAACTCACTCCCTACTGAATTGAAAAGCTGTCCAACTTTTACATCATTCAAAATCAATACTAAAAAGTACCTAATTTCATCTTCATAATTTTTCACTTTTTGCCTTAAAATTGCACTGTATCTATTGCTACCCAATCTCCCAACCTTTATGTTCCCAATTTGAACATCTTTACCATTGTGAACATTGCTGTTTTCTTATATGTGCTGCCAATCTGTTATATGGTGTTTATAAATCTTGTTTATCTGTATATTTTGCTACCCAGTCTCTCAATCTTTATGTACCCATTCTGAACATCTTTACCATTGTAATAATAATAATAATAATAATTTTTATTTAGGTAAAGGTACATACATAGAGAGATTGTACAAAGTTTGTTGGCTTTATTGTGATCATTGCTGTCTTATATGTGCTGTCAATCTGCTGTATGGTGTCTATTAATCTTGCTTAAATTACTAATCAAGCTGTCAATGTAATCAATCAGAGCTTTAATATAACAATGTGCTTTAATATACTTACTTATCTCTCTCATCTCATTTTTCTCTTTAATGTATCTTTCATTTATCAATTCTGATTGAAATTACCTACTTAAAATTATCTGCTAGATTAAGGACTTGCCCGAAACGCTGCGCGTACTAGTGGCTTTGCAAGAATGTAAATACTGTTCTATCCAATGTATTCTCACAAACCCAATGTACCTTCTTGTATATATATAAATAAATAAATAAATAAATTATGATCATTAGATTATCCTCATGGCAGATCTCTAGTGCTATTATGTCAACTTCTTGTGGATTGGCAGTCATTATTTCGTTCACCTTTAGGTATTCTTTCACCAGCACTGCAACGCCACCGCCTTTCCTAATTTTTCTGTCCTGTCTCCAAATTGAGTTGCCCCTTGGGAATATGACCTCATTTAAAATAACATCAAGTTTTGTCTCCGTGAGTGCAACAATGTCTGGTGTCTGCAGCTGTATTACATCACTTAACTCCAGTATCTTCGATCTTATTCCATCTATGTTGGTGTATGCAATCTTCAGGAACTTGTTTCCCCTCTTCTTATTTTTCACTCCCCCTCTCTCTAATGATTTTGTTGGTTTGTCTTTATGTACCACTTTACTGGTCTGCCTACCCCTATCACTTTGTAGAAAAAAGAATTGATTTCTTCTTCATTCCTGCTCTCATTTAAGGTGTGGTGAACCCCGTGTATCCACTGGCCGTTTAAATCTTGCGTAGTACTCCAACACATCATATGATGCGATGCGCAATTTACTGCAAGTCGGTCAAAGCATCATATGATGCGATGTGCAATTTAAGGGTTACCTACGAAAACGAAGGTACCAACATAGATGGTGGGGCCTTTAGGGGTAATCTTGTTTTCAGCAGATACTAGTAGGCAAGCACTGCAATTTTCTTCAACTTTGTAATTAGAGAACCACTACATGTATCTTTCTTTGTCATCTCATTTTCATCATTCTACAATATATCTCACTTGATACTATATTTTATAGAGGCATTTGTTTTTTGTCTTTATCTCTAATGAATCAGTAGTAATTACTGTTATTTCCCTCTTAAGACTACTAAATATGTTGAGTTAATAAACATTAAATTATTGAATGTTGGAACCAGCCACATGGTAATGGAATAGATTAGGTTGGGGACACATCAGCTATAGGTCCTGCAGCACAGTGGTCAGTGTAGCTGGCTCACAACCCAATGAGCCTAGGTTTGATTCCCATGCAAGAGGGAGGTGTTTGGAGATGTTTCCTTTCACCTGGTGCATCTTTTCACTTATCAGTAAATACCTGGGAGTCAGACAACTGTTGTGGGTTTCATCTTTGGGAAGGTCGGTCATTGAGAAAAATCATTCTTGTCTTACAGACCCGATGAAAGCGAGGAAACGGGTAATAATAATTCTGTATTGTTAGGTCATGTGCCAAGAAAATAACTTAATATTTATATAACTTTTATTAGATACAAAAATAATATATTGTCAGAGTATTTACACCGGTACATTCATGGTCACTGATCACATTCTAAACCGACACCTCAAATTGTGTACATTAGGTACATTTGCAAGATAAAACACTGGGAATAACTATTATATTTCCATTATAAGACTTGGTTGGCATCAATATTTCACAGAACTAAGTACTGTATATTGGTAACACATTCACCTCACATCTCTTACTTCCTGCACTGTCTAATGCTTATCACTCAGCTACAGTTTTCTAGATTACCCTGAAAATATGAGGTAAATTGTATCTGACCACAACCTGTAGATACTATGTTTGGAAGCTATTCCAATTTTCCCTATTCGCTATTCCTTTCACGAGTGGCAAAATCAACATAATTGGGATAGAAAAAACTAAGGTGAATTTGGTTGAACTAAAGGGCATTCTGGGAGATGTTAACAGTACAGGTACTAGTGAATATGACCAGTGAACAAATTTAAGACTACAGTGATGATAAACCAACTGCAAAAGTAGTTTACAAATAAAACTATGATGGTCATGAAGTGTTATAATACACCTGATTTAAAAGCCACTAAATTGTATATAAATACCTTAGCTTTGTGAGGAAGTGTTATTTAACTTGGAAATATGACCTATGACTTGAGATGACCTTTAAATCTAATGGCAGAAATTTTGACTTTGGCTTCAGGTTTGTTGTCAACGTCATCTGTGGTGAAAGTGGAGGACGGAGGCTGGTGACAAGACGGCAACAGCAGCAGCAGCAGCAGCGGTGTTACTTCTTAGACTGGTGCTGCTGGGACTGACTGTGAGCCTGGCCAGTGCCTCCAGGTTGAGCAAACAGCATTTGAGCATGTTGGTTGGACAACTGATAGGGCACAGCCAGCCCCTGAGTGCTCACACTTTCAACACTCACCTGAGCAAGTCAACATAAGTGTTGTAGAGACATTATATATTTAAATTTATGTCATGATCACTAATATTCATACAATGAATTACACTTATTAGAATTCTATATTAATAAGGCTTTATTTTTTATTCAATTACCTGCATTATGCTTAGATATAGTTAGTTCCTTGTATTTGTAAAAGCTTACATTTAAGGTATAAAACATTCTAATATAAAAAGTAATTTAAAGGTATAAAAGTAATTTAAAGTAATAAGCATAAAGAAACAAGTGTATCTCCATACACACTTACTTGTGCAGGGTTCAGAGTAGATACAGTGATTGTCGGTGACTGAAGTGAGGCTGGTGATGTCATGGCAACTGGTTGAACAATAGATGAAGTTGCAGCTGCCAGAGTACCAGTGGCCAGAGACACTGCTCCAGTGACTGGATGAAGTGATGCAGATACTGGAATGCCCGCAGTACCCATTCCTAATACTCCCCCAACGCTGGGCCCTACTGCTATACTACTATGGAACCCACCAGTAGTGCCAACAGAGCTTGTGGTGGTGTACTGCAGTCCACCCTTCAACAAAGAAAGTATCATGCTCAATTACACGAAGTTTAAGAAATATTTATTAATATCTTCGCATACAGTATTGCTATACTATAAAATCTTATAAATAAAGCCAAGATCTAAACAATACAAATCTCCACAAAGAATTATACCCTATTAACCTTTAAACCGCTAAGGGTTTTTTCCTGTAACAGCGCCAGGCGCAACACAAAAAAATTCAAAAAATTCTTTCGTCTTATAAAAGTGTTCATTTGTGTTCCCTGATCACAGGGAAAAAAAATCGTAGGTGGCATATTTTGGCCGCAATAGGGTAGGGAAGTCTGGCATAAAAACAGAGTTGAATGTAATGAAACTCCATTTTCTGGGTGAGTTCAGACCTACCAGGGACCAGCGCCAGAACCTGACCCCTTCAGAGAGGTATCAGGAAGCAATGGCCCTGGAAAATCCCCTTGTGGTTGAGGTTTTCCTTATCTGCCATCGACCGGGATTAGGCACCCAGAAAGGTAGGCATAACAAAACAAACCCCACATGGTAAGAAACTAAAACAAAAAACAAACAGAGGTAGAAACTCCCTACAATCCCAAGGAAACAAACAAGCAATTATCACAATTTACTGCCGCGCCGGTCGTCCGCGCAGCCCTCCACTCCCAGAGAGGGGGAGGGGGGGGGGGGGGGGGGTTGGACCTCACCGTGCCGGCTGCCTTCAGATCAGAAACTAGGTTTCAACCAATGCGAAAAACATGCCGACCGGTGGGAGGGAGGGTTGCCAGGGAGCCTCCGGGACTCATCCAGAAAATTGCTTTTCATTGCATTCAACGCTGGTTTTCTGTGGGGAGGCCCTATGGCTTTTTGGAGATACATACCCAAAGAGAAGGAAAATAGGGACTTACCCGGGAGGCACCGGCCACAAACTCCTCAAAGCGAAGTCAAGACAACTGGCTGCAACCTGCAACCCAAAGCAACACAAGAACACTGAGGAGCAGGCACATTCACCAAATAACGGGCAGCCAGTACCCTATTCGACTTCCAAAACAAATGCGTCCGAATATGAGCCCAAGACATGTTACCAAACACGGCAGCCAAAGCTGCAAACTTCCGAACGTCATGAGCGCGAGGATAGACAGCAGGCTGACTAGACTTAATAACCCTGCAGACAACCTGGGAGACCCGAGCCTTGGAACAGGGAACAAGGGAAACCTGATCAACCAAAGCACACCCCCAGCTACTCCAGCTGAGGCGCGCAGGCAACGGCGAAGAGCCGCAACCGGACACAACACATGATGCACCAAAACACATGATTTGGTCGTGGTGTCCCGTCTCCCCAGCACAAAGAGTGCTGGGGAGACAGGACACCACTAGCGTAGCTCTCATCCTGTAACTACACTTAGGTAATTACTCCCGGCTGAACCAAGCAAGCATCAATGACCCACGAACCCCTCCGGAAAGCAGCAGTCTCCTTCTTCACCAGAAAAGGAGGAGATGCTGCAGACCTATCACCTCGACCAAAAGAGCAGAAACCCCTGCGTCAGAGGAGAGCATGAAGCTCCCCAACCCGACCCCCCAGAGGCCAATGCCAACAAGAAGATCATGATCAGTGGACTGGGTGTATTGGAGAACAAACAAGGAACAAAACTCGCAGGACTCCGGGTCGAAGGTGTCACCGACCCAACAGGCAGCATGATGGAGGCACAACCTGTGAGTGTTACCCTGAGACAAGGGGGGAAAGAGCAACCTTCAAACTTGCACGAAGCGAGAGGGGACCCAGGGGTTGCATCTATTGGACCAAAGAGCCCGCACGAGGTTTCCCAGGGCCCTTAGTCACGTAATCTCACTAAGGGAAGCCAAGGCAGGGTACTGCTAACCGGCACCCAAAGTTACCAAACAAACTGCTAAAGCTGAACCCCTGGACGTACACACAAATGGGGTGGGGGTTTCCTGTTCGCGGGGGCTGTTCGCACCCGCAAACAGGAGAGAAGGGAAACCAGATCAAATCCTAGAAGAGGACCACCAAGATATAAATGGGTGTGATCAAAACCACGAGGCAGACCCTCCACTAGGCAGGAAAACAAAAACTAAAGAAAAACCCCACAAGGGGACAACGTACCCAGGCAGAACAGAGCCGGCTGCTATGAGAGGAGAAAACTAGCTGCAGAGTACCCTGCGCCCCAACCAGTAGCAAAACTACCCCCTACCTAGAGGCAAACAGAAGTGTCAGAATACCCCAACTGACTCCAAGGGCGGTCAATCACCGAGCAGCAAAAGACCTTGCTAAGGTAGACTCCAAGGTGACTTGTGGAAAGTGGGCCCCCCAAGTCCCAAGGGCAGTACTTACAGGGCACCTAGGGAAGGGGTGCATCACATCAGTCACAGAACTGGGGTGTGAATAGCTGGTGCAGGGGTCTGGGGCTGGGGGGAGGGGAAGTTGTGCAGATAGCGGCGCGGTGATGTCATGCTCGTTTACTCATTTTCATTTGGAGAGTTCTGTGCACTAGTTGGGCTTTCAGTAGCAATATTTTAACCAGAATAGGGGTTTGTTTTGGGGCACTTACCTTTCTGGATGCCTGACCCGGTCGATGGCAGACATAGAATGCTTCCAAAAACATGGGGGTTTCTATAGGCCAGTGCTCCTCGTGCCTCTCTGAGGGGGCCAGGTTCTGGCTCGTGGTGCCCGGTTGGCCTAGAACTCCATGCGCATTGACTGATGTCAAGGTCTACTACATTCATACCAGTCCGGTTAGCTCCGGGGAGCTACAGGGGCTCCCTCCCAGAAAAGTCTCAAACGGTCAGTATACTTTCTAAAATCAGATATTGTGTTCCCCATTCTGCTCTCCCCTCATTATACTATACACTTATGTATCCCTATCTTACATACGGTATCTGTGCATAGGGTTCAACCCTTGCAAATTACTTCAAGCCCATCATCACTCTGCAAAAATCTGCTATTAGAACTATAAAAAACTCCGTCTTCAGACAACACACATCTCCTGTGTTTAAGTTCTTTAAAATGCTAAACATACACTCACTCCATACAAACATGTACAAAACCTTGTTCCTAAATGCTAATCTTGATCTGAAAAATTTTCATGATAGGTGTAATAGAACCCATGAGCACCACACCATAAATAAATATCTTTTTGATATCCCCAGTCAGGCTAAATCTGTGCAAACACTCCATGCAAATAAAAGGGCCCAGTCTTTGGAACTCACTTCTTGATGAAGTCAAAAACCAGTGTTGAATGTAATGAAATGCCATTTTCTGGGTGAGTCCCGGAGGCTCCCCGGAGCTATCCAGGCTGAATGGATATGTTTAACTTTCTGGCATCAGTCAAGGTGCATGGAGTTCTTGCCTACCGGGGACCACGAGCCAGAACCTGGCCCCCTCAGAGAGCCATGGGGAGCAATGGCCTATAGAAACCCCCATGTGGTTGGATGCATTCTATGTCTGCCATTGACTGGGCTAGGCACCCAGAAAGGTAAGCGTCCCAAAACAAACCCCTATTCTGGTGAAAATTGCTACAAAAAGTTGAACAAGTGGATAGAACTCCCCAAACAGAAACAAGCATGACGACACATGTCGCTGCACTGCTGTCTGTGCTGCTTCCCCCTTCCCGGGAGGGGAAAGGATGAGCCCCAGACCCTTGTCGTGGTGGCCATCCACACTTCAGTTCTGAGGCTGGACATCAAAACACGCGAAAAAAATGCCGACCAGGGGGAGGGAGGAAGGGATGCCGGGGAATTTCCGGGTCTCACCCAGAATATGGCGTTTCATTACATTCAACGATGGTTTTCTGGGGTGAGCCCCCCTGCGGCTCCCTGGAGATAACTACCCACAGTGGAAAACCAGAGGAACTTACCCGGACGGCGGTCGCTGCTCACACCTCAACCTGAAGTCGAGCCTGGGCTGCAACTGCCGACCCAAAACAACACAGGCCCGACTAGGCCCAGGATCGTTCACGAGGTAGCACGCGGCCGAGACCTTGTTCAACCGCCAAAACCCCCACGTCTGAATGTTAGCCCACGCCATGCTGCCAAAGACGGCATCAAGATAAGTGAACGTCATTGGCACAGGAATAGGCCGCAAGCTGGCTAGCCTTAATTATCTCGTGGACGACCTAGGAGATCCGCACCCGCGAACAGGAAAGAAGGGAAACTGGATCAACCCCAAGCGCGTCCCCGGACACAGAAGCCGTGGCACGCAAATAACGGCGGAGGGCTGCAACCGGACACAAAGCATGATGTACCCCCTGCCTGACCAACCAAGCATCAACAACCCAAGGACTCCTCTGAAAAGTAGCCATCTCATTCTTCACCAGAAAAGAAGGAGATGGCTGCAGATGAACAAACTGATCGCCACGACTGAAAGAGCAGAAACCCCTGCGCCGGAGGAGAGCATGAATCTCCCCGACCCGACCCCCGAAGGCCAATGCCAACAGGAAAAGAGTCTTCAACAAACAATCCTGAACTGAAGGGGCCTCAACAAACCGAGGAGAAGAGAGACAGGAGAGCACTATGTCCAATGACCAGGACGGCTCAGGCAGAGCATGAGCAGGCTGGAGGTGAAATAATGCACGAGACAGCTTGCGAAACGGCACAGAAGTAACATCTATACCGACAGCAAGCTGAAGCGGCTCTGCCTACTTCAGTCCTGGAACAACCAAGAGAGAAAGGACAACACCATCCGAACCGAAAGCAAAGCACAATGACAAAGAGTCAAAAAGAAACGGAAGGACCACCAGGAAACTTCATACTGCCGTCGAGACAAAGCCCGCAGGTGGGACACTAACAAGGAAGCCACCTGATCACCATAGAGATGACGATAAACTCGAGTCAAAAATATCATACCTGAAGACTCGAGGAGAAGATCGAACTAGCTACTTGACACACCGGTCCGATCTGCTGAAAGAGGCAGAGCCGCGGGAAAATCTCCGGGTTCGGACACCGAGCAAGCAGCGCCTGAAACCACGGCTGGGCCGGCCACCAAGGGGCCAAGAAGACTACTCTCCTCTGGC